GAGGCCAGAGAGGGAGACTTCAAACTTCACTGTAAGGGCCAGACTCATTGACGCGATAGTCCGACCTCCCCCATTGCGACATGGGTTTGCGGCTCTGAAACCACTGTCCGTGGGGGACACGCAGCCCGAACGTGCACCTCCCCCAAAAATTCTCAACCAACGCTGCTCCACGTACGCCTCCTCTATTAATTTTAATGTGTTGACAGTTGGATAAATTGCTTGAGCCGTGCTGAGAAGGAGAAAAGTATGAAAGGCAACGGTCCCAAGACTCTACAACCCCTGCTGTGCGTACGTGTACGCGTTTTGGACTCTCGATAGACGCTTTAGAAGAGTTTCGGGGGCAGAACATTATCTGATAATCATCTGCAACTGTTACCCTGGGTGGGCTGAGCTACTGCCAGCCTGTGGGATAGCCGTTGGAATAATAACCAGTAAATGCTAGACATAGAAAGAAAACAGAATTAAGTATTTTATTTTTTTTATTCGTACTTTTTCCACAGAAAACATGAACCTCGAACAGACATGGAGGAGAAATGTGCTTTAGCCTGTTTATCTCCAAACAGAGAGATGACAGTCTTGAGAAAGCAGCAGAGCAATTCCCTCCCTTCCTCTGTAAACAAAAACTGAAACACAAGAACTGGACCACTCTCTCCCCCTGATTTTAATCCCTTCTTTTGGCAAACACTGTGTGGAGGAAATAAAATGTCCTGTTCAGTAATATCCACAAAGTGCCAAAACCACTATGAGTCTAAAGCTTTAGAAAGCACCATATCCCCTAAACTGGTTTTAACGTCCTACTCAACTATATATATATATGACTAGCACTAAATCACATTTGTGGTTAGTTGTTGAGTCATATAATATGGAGAAGTACTTTAGTTCTTTCTGTAAAACCTTCTGTGGCCTACATACACAACACATATCAAAGCTTTGTGTGATAGTCCATCTGCATGTAGTGACCTACGACACCGGCTTGCATGTGTTTGTGTAAGAGAAGAGAGGACGGTTGAGTCCCAAATGGCACCCTATTCCCTACATAGTGCACTACTTTTGACCAGAGCCCTACGTGCGCAGAAATCTCCATATTAATAGCCAAGGCAAATCAGGTTCCAGAACCGCAGCAACTGGTGTCTCTAATGGACCACATCCTCCATTCTGACACACTGGTCTGTCCCCATTCATTAGTCCCTGCTTTCATCTACCCACACTGCCCTCCCTCCCTACCCACACTGCCCTCCCTCCCTACCCACACTGCCCTCCCTCCCTCCCTCCCTCCGTCCCTCCCTCCGTCCCTCTGTCCCTCCGCAAAGAACAAGAGAAAACAGAAGCAGGAACAGCCCTAATGAGAATACTACCACTACAACCCTAACCACTACAGCCCTAACCCTAACCACTACAGCCCTAACCACTACAGCCCTAACCCTAACCACTACAGCCCTAACCCTAACCACTACAGCCCTAACCCTAACCACTACAGCCCTAACCCTAACCACTACAGCCCTAACCACTACAACCCTAACCACTACAACCCTAACCACTACAGCCCTAACGCTAACCACTACAGCCCTAACCCTAACCACTACAGCCCTAACCACTACACCTACAAAACCCCCTAACCCACTACCCACTACAGCCCTAACCCTCCCCTAACCACTACAAGCCCTAACCCTAACCACTACACAGCCCTACACCACTAACAGCCCTAACCACTACAGCCCCTAACCCTAACCACTACATCCCTAACCACTACACAACCCTAACCACTACAACAGCCCTAACCCTAACCACTACAAGCCCTAACCCTAACCACTACAGCCCTAACCCTAACCACTACAGCCCTAACCACTACAACCCTAACCCTAACCACTACAGCCCTAACCCTAACCACTACAGCCCTAACCACTACAGCCCTAACCACTACAACCCTAACCCTAACCACTACAGCCCCAACCCTAACCACTACAACCCTAACCACTACAGCCCTAACCACTACAGCCCTAACCACTACAACCCTAACCACTACAACCCTAACCCTAACCACTACAGCCCTAACCACTACAACCCTAACCACTACAGCCCTAACCCTAACCACTACAGCCCTACCTAACCACTACAGACCTAACCACTACAGCCCTAACCCTAACCACTACAGCCCTAACCACTACAGCCCTAACCCTAACCACTACAGCCCTACCACTACAACCTAACCACTACAGCCCTAACCCTACAGCTAACCACTACAGCCCTAACCACTACAGCCCTAACCCTAACCACTACACAAACCCTAACCAACAGCCACCCTAACCACTACAAACCCTAACACACAAGCCCTAACCACTACAACACTACAGCCTAACCAACCAACCACTACAAACCCTAACCACTACAAAGCCTAACACTACAAACCAACACTACACCCTACCAACCCTACATAACCCTAACCACTACAAGACCCTAACCCTACAAACCACTACCTAACCCTACACTACAGCCCTAACCCCTACAGCCCCAACCCTAACCACTACACCCAACCCTAACCACTACAAACCAACCTAACCACTACACCTAACCCCTACAGCCCTAACCCTAACCCCTACAGCCCTAACCCTAACCCCTACAGCCCTAACCCCTACAGCCCTAACCCCTACGCCCCCTAACCCTACACCCTAACCACTAACTACCCTACACCCCTAACCCCTACAGCCCTAACCCTAACCACTACAGCCCTACAACCCCTAACCACTCAAACCTAACGCCCTAACCCTAACCCCTACAGCCCTAACCCCTACAGCCCTAACCCTAACCCCTACCAGCCCTAACCCTAACCCCTACAGCCCTACCCTACAGCCCTAACCCCTACACCCTAACCCCTACAGCCCTAACCCCTACAGCCCTAACCCTAACCACTACAGCCCTAACCCTAACCACAGCCCTAACCCCTACAGCCCTAACCCCTACAGCCCTAACCCCTACAGCCCTAACCCCTACAGCCCTAACCACTACAGCCCTAACCCTAACCTACAGCCCTAACCCTAACCCACCACTACAGCCTACCACCACTCAGCCCTAACCCTAACCACTACATCCAACTAAGCCCCTAACCACTACAACCCTAACCACTACACCCTAACCCTAACCACTACAAACCTAACCACTACAGCCCTAAACACCTAACACTACAGCCTAACCTAACCACTACAGCCCTAAACCCAACACTACAAGCCCTAACATACAGCCCTAACCTACCACTACAGCCCTAACCACTACAACCCTAACCCTACCCCAAAGCCCTAACCCTACAACCACTACCCTAAGCCCTAACCACACACCCTAACCACTACAAGCCCTAACCACTACGTCCCTAACCACTACCCTACAGCCCTAACCCTACACACAGCCCTAACCACTACAAGCCACCCTAACCACTACAATCCCTAACCAACAGCTAACCCTAACCACTACAAGCCCTAACCACTACACAACACACCCTACCCTACCCACTACACAAGCCCCTAACCACTACAGCCTAACCCTAACCCACACAAGCCCTAACCACTACAAGCACCTAACCACTCACCCTACAACCACAACCCTAAACCCTAACCCAAGCCCTACCAATACAGCCTAACACTCCCTAACCACTACAGCCCTAACCCTACCATACAAACTCCCTACATAACCACAGCCTAACCCTCACCATACCAAGCTCCTATCCTAACCACACATCCCACCCTAAGCAAACAACTCACATAAACCCTAAAGCAACCTACCCCTACAAAACCGACATCACTCACCACTACAAGCCCTAACATCGACGTTCTCCACTAAATGGAACAATCAGACGCCTGCCCTAACCTAAAACCAACAACAGCCCACCCTACAACAAAACACACTAAGAACACTCCGGATAACAACTCTAAAACCCTCCACTAGCCTAGAGAATCGACCTCTCCCTCAGGCTAAACAATGCGCCCCCCCCCCTCCAACCCTCAACCACAGCCTACTCATCAACTCCTGCAATGCTAGGCAGCCATCAAATGTAGTTTACTAACACCCCCCCCCCCGCAGACAGGATGTGCCCGTTCAATGGGCTTTTAATTAACTACTCTGGCCAAGCAGATTGAGTGCCTGCCTGCCTGCCTGTCTGTCTGCCTGCCTGTCTGTCTGTCTGCCTGCCTGCCTGTCCTGTCTGTCTGTCTGTCTGCCTGCCTGCCTGTCTGTCTGTCTGTCTGTCTGCCTGCCTGTCTGTCTGTCTGCCTGCCTGCCTGTCTGTCTGTCTGTCTGCCTGCCTGCCTGCCTGTCTGCCTGCCTGTCTGTCTGTCTGTCTGTCTGTCTGCCTGCCTGTCTGCCTGCCTGTCTGCCTGTCTGCACCACAGTTAGTTTGCCTGGGAGCCTCCCGTTCATCATCATCATCACTACAGCTAGGACAGAGCTGTGCACATTCTCCTCCGTCCTGTCCCAGGTACATCTAGTCTTTAAGATAAATATTCATGTTGGCAAGCGAGGAAGAGGGAAAACAAATGGAGAACACAGGACTGCGTCTCAAATGGCACCCTATTCCCTATATAGTGCACTACTAATGACCAGGACCCATGGTACACTATGTAGGGGATAGAGCAGGCAGGCGGGGGGGGGGGGGGAGCCAAGGCACCAGGAAGGACTATCCTATCCAATGGCCTAAAGAGGTCTGAGAGAGCTACAGTGGATGGAGAGAGACATGCCGTGTGGGAGCCAACGCTTCTCCCTCTTCCCCATCCCCCTCTCTCTCCTGGCGGAAGTGGGGGATATGTCAGTGAGCTCAGGGCAGTGCAGAGGGGATTGACATACCAGTGGGATCATCAGTCTATGCCTGCCTTCCAAATGGCACCCTATTCCCTAAGTAGTGCACTATTTTTGACCAGGGCCCATAGGAATAGGGTGCCAGATGGGACGGAGTTTCTCTCTGTGCCTGCCAAACAGCTGGCTTCAGTTGTAACAACATCAAACCCAGCCCAGCCCACCACTCTCTCTTTCTGAGGCTGGTAGAGGAGAGGAGAGCTGAGCAACGTATGGTGACTGGAGGAGAGCTGAGTAACGTATGGTGACTGGAGGAGAGCTGAGCAACGTATGGTGACTGGAGGAGAGCTGAGCAACGTATGGTGACTGGAGGAGAGGAGAGCTGAGCAACGTATGGTGACTGGAGGAGAGCTGAGCAACGTATGGTGACTGGAGGAGAGCTGAGCAACGTATGGTGACTGGAGGAGAGCTGAGCAACGTATGGTGACTGGAGGAGAGAAGAGCTGAGCAACGTATGGTGACTGGAGGAGAGAAGAGCTGAGCAACGTATGGTGACTGGAGGAGAGAAGAGCTGAGCAACGTATGGTGACTGGAGGAGAGAAGAGCTGAGCAACGTATGGTGACTGGAGGAGAGAAGAGCTGAGCAACGTATGGTGACTGGAGAGGAGAGCAACGTATGGTGACTGGAGAGGAGAGCTGAGCAACGTATGGTGACTGGAGGAGAGCTGAGCAACGTATGGTGACTGGAGGAGAGCTGAGCAACGTATGATGACTGGAGGAGAGGAGAGCAACGTATGGTGACTGGAGGAGAGAAGAGCTGAGCAACGTATGGTGACTGGAGGAGAGCTGAGCAACGTATGATGACTGGAGGAGAGGAGAGCAACGTATGGTGACTGGAGGAGAGGAGAGCTGAGCAACGTATGGTGACTGGAGGAGAGCTGAGCAACGTATGGTGACTGGAGGAGAGGAGAGCTGAGCAACGTATGGTGACTGGAGGAGAGAAGAGCTGAGCAACGTATGGTGACTGGAGGAGAGCTGAGCAACGTATGGTGACTGGAGGAGAGAAGAGCTGAGCAACGTATGGTGACTGGAGGAGAGAAGAGCTGAGCAACGTATGATGACTGGAGGAGAGAAGAGCTGAGCAACGTATGGTGACTGGAGAGGAGAGCTGAGCTGAGCAACGTATGGTGACTGGAGAGGAGAGCTGAGCTGAGCAACGTATGGTGACTGGAGAGGAGAGCTGAGCTGAGCAACGTATGGTGACTGGAGGAGAGAAGAGCTGAGCAACGTATGGTGACTGGAGGAGAGGAGAGCAACATATGGTGACTGGAGGAGAGGAGAGCTGAGCAACGTATGGTGACTGGAGGAGAGCTGAGCAACGTATGGTGACTGGAGAGGAGAGCTGAGCAACGTATGGTGACTGGAGGAGAGCTGAGCAACGTATGGTGACTGGAGAGGAGAGCTGAGCAACGTATGGTGACTGGAGGAGAGGAGAGCAAAGTATGGTGACTGGAGGAGAGGAGAGCAACGTATGGTGACTGGAGGAGAGCTGAGCAACGTATGGTGACTGGAGGAGAGCTGAGCAACGTATGGTGACTGGAGGAGAGCTGAGCAACGTATGGTGACTGGAGGAGAGCTGAGCAACGTATGGTGACTGGAGGAGAGCTGAGCAACGTATGGTGACTGGAGGAGAGGAGAGCAACGTATGGTGACTGGAGGAGAGGAGAGCAACGTATGGGAAACTATTTATGGTCATCATTTACTTTCCACACACAGAGAAAGACACACACCTAAATTAACCATAGTTTGGCACACACATAGGGAGCAGAGAGTAGAGGAGAGAGAGAGGAGAGAGGAGAGAGAGAGCGAGAGAGAGCGAGAGAGAGCGAGAGAGAGCGAGAGAGAGCGAGAGAGAGCGAGAGAGAGCGAGAGAGAGCGAGAGAGAGAGAGAGAGAGAGAGAGAGAGAGAGAGAGAGAGAGAGAGAGAGAGAGCAGGAGAGCGAGAGCGGTAGAGAGAGAGAGAGAGAGAGAGACATTCCTAGAACAGTAAACACCCTGCCAGTATAAGGAGGTGATGATCATCACTGATCCTGGAAACTCTGAGATGGAGACAAGTTTAGGTGAGAGTTTGTACAGAACGGATGCTGTCACTTTGTTACTACAATATAATCCAGACAGATTGGAGTAGATTTAGTAGTAAATACTATTAGATGTTTAAACTATGTGGGTCCTTATGATCGACAACATGGCAGTTCTCAGAGAGTTATTCATCTTTCCAACCCTGAATGAATTGATCTTAAAGGCTAGCAATCATTTGAATGAATCATACAGTAAATGAAGGGAATAACCCCGTTTACCACCCAATAAACTGGCCTCGGGGGCTTTAAAACACCCCCATAAAATATCAACATCGTTGATCCAGTCCTAGTTGGTGGGAGTCCTGAAGGGTCAACCTGAGGTCTAGGCAGTGAGAGGGGTAGGGGACAGGGGACAGGGACAGGGGTACGGGACAGGGGACAGGGGACAGGGGGGGAGAGGGACAGGGGACAGGGGAGAGGGGAGAGGGGATTGACAGGGGACAGGGGGTAGGGGGACAGGGGACAGGGGACAGGGGACAGGGGAGAGGGGAGAGGGATGACAGGGGACAGGGGGTAGGGGACAGGGGAACAGGGACAGGGGACAGGGGAGAGGGATGACAGGGGACAGGGGTAGGGGACAGGGGACGGGGACAGGGACAGGGGACAGGGGAGAGGGGGAGAGGGATGACAGGGGACAGGGGACAGGGACAGGGATGACAGGGGACAGGCGACAGGGGTTAGGGGGACAGGGATAGGGGACAGGGATAGGGGACAGGGATAGGGGGACAGGGGACAGGGGACAGGGATGACAGTACAGTAGGCGTGGGGGACAGGGGAGAGGGATGACAGGGGACAGGGGACAGGGATGACAGGGGACAGGGGGACAGGGATAGGGGACAGGGATAGGGGACAGGGGACAGGGGACAGGGATGACAGTACAGTAGGCGTGGGGGACAGGGGACAGGGATGACAGTACAGTAGGTATGGGGGACAGGGGACAGGGATGACAGTACAGTAGGCGTGGGGGACAGGGGAGAGGGATGACAGTACAGCAGGTATGGGGGACAGGGGAGAGGGATGACAGTACAGTAGGTATGGGGGACAGGGGAGAGGGATGGACAGTACAGTAGGTATGGGGGACAGGGGAGAGGGATGACAGTACAGTAGGTATGGGGGACAGGGGACAGGGATGACAGTACAGTAGGCGTGGGGGACAGGGGAGAGGGATGACAGTACAGCAGGTATGGGGGACAGGGGAGAGGGATGACAGTACAGTAGGTATGGGGGACAGGGGAGAGGGATGACAGTACAGTAGGTATGGGGGACAGGGATGACAGTACAGTAGGCATGGGGGACAGGGGAGAGGGATGACAGTACAGCAGGTATGGGGGACAGGGGAGAGGGATGACAGTACAGTAGGCGTGGGGGACAGGGGGAGAGGGATGACAGTACAGTAGGTATGGGGGACAGGGGAGAGGGATGACAGTACAGCAGGTATGGGGGACAGGGGAGAGGGATGACAGTACAGTAGGTATGGGGACCAGGAACAGGGATGACAGTACAGTAGGTATGGGGGACAGGGATGACAGTACAGTAGGTATGGGGACCAGGAACAGGGATGACAGTACAGTAGGTATGGGGGACAGGGATGACAGTACAGTAGGTATGGGGACATGGATGACAGTACAGTAGGTATGGGGACAGGGATGACAGTACAGTACAGTAGGTATGGGGGACAGGGGACAGGGATGACAGTACAGTAGGTATGGGGACAGGGATGACAGTACAGTAGGCATGGGGGACAGGGATGACAGTACAGTAGACATGGGGGACAGGGATGACAGTACAGTAGGTATGGGGGACAGGGATGACAGTACAGTAGACATGGGGGACAGGGGATGACAGTACAGTAGGTATGGGGGACAGGGGACAGGGATGACAGTAAAGTAGGCATGGGGGACAGTGGACAGGGATGACAGGACAGTAGAAGTGGGGGACAGTGATGACAGTACAGTAGGTATGGGGGACAGGGGACAGGGATGACAGTAAAGTAGGCATGGGGGACCGGGATGACAGTACAGTAGGTATGGGGACAGGGATGACAGTACAGTAGGCATGGGGGACAGGGATGACAGTACAGTAGACATGGGGGACAGGGATGACAGTAAAGTAGGCGTGGGGGACAGGGATGACAGTTGATTAGGTATGGGGACAGGAGACAGGGATGACAGTACAGTAGGTATGGGGGACAGGGATGACAGTAAAGTTGACGTGGGGGACAGGGATGACAGTACAGTAGGCGTGGGGGACAGGGATGACAGTACAGTAGGTATGGGGGACAGGGATGACAGTAAAGTAGGCATGGGGACAGGGGATGACAGTACAGTAGGTATGGGGACAGGGGACAGGGATGACAGTAAAGTTGACGTGGGGGACAGGGATGACAGTACAGTAGGCGTGGGGGACAGGGATGACAGTACAGTAGGCGTGGGGGACAGGGATGACAGTACAGTAGGCGTGGGGGACAGGGATGACAGTACAGTAGGCATGGGGGACAGGGGACAGGGATGACAGTACAGTAGGAGTGGGGGACAGGGGACAGGGATGACAGTACAGTAGGCGTGGGGGACAGTGGACAGGGATGACAGTACAGTAGGCGTGGGGGACAGGGGACAGGGATGACAGTACAGTAGGCGTGGGGGACAGTGGACAGGGATGACAGTACAGTAGGCGTGGGGGACAGGGGACAGGGATGACAGTACAGTAGGCGTGGGGGACAGTGGACAGGGATGACAGGACAGTAGGCGTGGGGGGACAGGGGACAGGGATGACAGTACAGTAGGCGTGGGGGACTCACCCAGAAGTGTGCGTGGCAGTTGACCACCATGGTGCGTTCGATCAGCTCGTCAGGACACTCCAGGAGATGGTGACCGGAGACCACGCCGGCGTTGTTTATCAACATGTCCACGTTTCCCACCTCCCGACGCACCTTCTCCGCCGTGGAGTACACACTCTCCCGCTTGCCCACGTCACACACATACGTGTACACCTGCGGCTGGAACGGAAGAACCTCCTCTAGCCCTCCGACTGCTCCTGGATAGATGGAGGGAGGGAGGGAGAGAGAGGAAGTGAGAATGAACCACACCACAGTATTAGAGTACATCACTGGAGGGCAGACAAGAAAATCAAAATAGACAGTCCAAATCAGAATAAGGTAATAACACATTTAAAATCAAGCCATGGAAAATAACTTTTCATTTAAAGTTGATGGGAAAGTCAGACCCTTTAATTGCCATTAAACAGTTCTGAAACATATTATTTTCTGCCCTCTATAGCTGCTGAGTGCACTCTGTGTGTAGGTCAAATATATTATTATTATTATTATTATTATTATTAAATATGAGCCTATACATTTTCGCCCCTATAGGCAATGACAGGGTAGGCTACTAGCACAAACCCACCGTGTAGGACCAGAGAGAGGACTTTAACAGGGAGCTGCCCTGTGGCGAGGGCACCGTACCCACGCCTAGCGTACGGAATGAAGTTCTACTCAGAATTAAATGCTAATAAACTGAGTCGACAGTAAATAGGCTAGTTGGTTTAAAAACACCATATTGTTATCAATAGAATAATGTATATGGTGACCCTCCTGACCAGACAATATTTGATCAAGCTCATGAGCCAAATAATCGCGTTGAAAAAATCGGATGACAGATATTTTCAGGCAACTCACCGTCTTTGGACATCGGGGTTTCACTGTCCAGCTCCCGGTAGATTTCCCTCACCAACTCCGCGGTCTCCTCGTTGCTTTGGCTGTTGATGTCCCATAGCACCAGTACAGCCCGTCTTCGAGCGAACTCCTTGGCGAACAGCCGGCCGAGGCCGCTTCCAGCCCCGGTGATCACACACACCTGTCCCGCTACACTCTTCTCCTTCGGCCGCACCACCCATTTCGCCCCGGCGGTGACAAAAGCCCAGAGCACTTTCAAGATGACCACGAAGAATTCCGCAAGAATGACCATAGCATTCATCATCTTGAATGCGATGGCAATGAACAAGATAATTAAAGAAATTCAAAACGGAGATAATATTGTATAGAAAGTGCACACCGTTTGCTTTACTGTGGTTTAAGTGACAAGTCAGTTATAGCAGCCAAAGTTGTGATAAATAGGCTATCTACCGAAATGACTTGTAAACTAATTAAACTAATATCGCCGGTGAAACCAACGGTCTGAATCCTGTCAATTCAAAACACTCTAAATATAATAGAGATCTACTGGACTGATTATTGATTTTCTCAAATAAATTACTCTACCCCAAGACAGCAAAAGCATGCAGCCATTAACTGAATCAATGAATGCAATGCTCAACAAATGTTAGAAAACTTGTTGCTGGTTTTCTCAAGTTGCTTCCCGATCCCGCAAACAGTCCCAGTTGTCAGAAGTGCGCATAGATTAAGTAAGGACGGAGTTGCGTGTAGACAGTGCCACTGCGTTGCGCCCTACCATCTGCAACAGCGACAGACCTGCAATGCTCTCATAACACAGCAGCGGCTAATGCGCTTTTTAACCACTTTGCCCGTCAATGGACCCCAATAGGACGGGGGCCGCAGCGCCTGACAGAAATAGAAGGCGGATTATTTTTAGTCAAATGAAAGGCGCGTAGTGGAAACTGGAGGCTGAATTGATGAGCTCTTTTGTGCCACCTGTAGGACTTTTGAAGTGGTGTCAGATGAATGAAAATAGAGGGGAAATGTTTTAGCCATTGTTTAATATATGTTTTAATTGTCTTCCTTTTTTAATTTTTTTATTAAATAAAAATAACATTCCGACTTTTTAAAGATAACCTAACTGTAAATGTGGCACCTGTACAAAGCGTTTTATCACTGATGACGATTTTACTGTTTTCGTTTATTACATGAACAATATGTCGGTTTGATTTAAGGTTTTGAAACTTTATAAGTTACATTCAAATGTCATCCAAAATCTTTTAAAACCAGTCAATATGTACACATCAATTGTAATTCTATTCAATAAGTATAGCCTATATATTTCAAATTTAATGTTTTTATTGTCAGGTGCACATGTACAGTGCAATGCCTTTCTTGCTAGCTCTTTCTCAACAATGCAGTCATCAATATCAGTAGTACTATATCACTGGAGGCTGCTGAGGGGAGGACGGCTCATAATAAGGGCTGGAATGGAGTCAATGGAACGGAATCAAACACGTGAAAAACATGTTTTTGATGCCATTCCATTGACTCCATTCCAGCCATTATTATGAGCCGTCCTCCCCTCAGCAGCCTCCATTGATATATATATATATATATATATATATATATATATATATATATATATATATATAAAGTCAAGTAGAACAAAAACACAATAAATAGAAATAAGAAAAACAGGAGAAAGTAAGTCAGCTATATACAGGGGACAGTTCCAGGGTCAGCTATATACAGGGACAGTTCCAGGGTCAGTAGCTATATACAGGGACAGTTCCTGGGTCAGTAGCTATATACAGGGACAGTTCCAGGGTCAGTAGCTATATACAGGGACAGTTCCAGGGTCAGTAGCTATATACAGGGACAGTTCCTGGGTCAGTAGCTATATACAGGGTCAGTTCCTGGGTCAGTAGCTATATACAGGGACAGTTCCTGGGTCAGTAGCTATATACAGGGTCAGTTCCAGGGTCAGTAGCTATTTTATATACAGGGACAGTTCCAGGGTCAGTAGCTATAACAGGGCAGTTCCAGGGTCAGTAGCTATATACAGGGTCAGTTCCTGGGTCAGTAGCTATTTTATATACGGACAGTCAGGTCAGTAGCTAATCGGGACAGTTCAAGGGTCATAGCAATACAGGGACAGTTCCTGAGGTCAGTATCTATATACAGGGGACATTTAGTCAGAATAACAGGGCGTTTGGAAACTGAGCTGAATGATCAGGCTTTTGGCCCACTATAGGACATTTAGGGTCGTAGTATATAAAAGACAGTCAGGGAGTAATTTTTTAAGGACAGTTCATATAGTTATAATGGTCATTTCTGTTCAGTAGTATTTTATATAAGGAATCCTGCCCGACTTATTACAGGGAATTATCAGTAACTTAAATGTGGACAGCCAGTACATAAGCGTTTATCAGCGGGACAGTTTTCGTCTATATACAGGAGCAGTTCAGGTCAGTGTATTAAGGGTTCTGGAGTACTTATAGGTCAGTTACAGGTTTCAAATGTCAATACAAAAGTTCGTTTTATACAGACAGTTCAGTAGTACTAACATTCCAGGTCAGTATCTATTAATGGAAGTTCCAGCCTAGCTATATTACAGGTTTCAGTTTCCTGGGTCAGTAGCAATCGGATCAGTTCCAGGGCAGTATTATATAAGGACGTAGCATAGCTTTTAATACAGGACAGTTCTCAGTCAGTAGCTATATACAGGGGTCATTCAGGGTCAGTAGCTCATAAAGGGTCATTGGGTCAGTAGCATATAAAGGACATCAGGTCAGTAGATATACAGGGACAGTCCAGTTTTGTGCATTCAGGGACCATTCCAGCGTCAGTATCTATACGGACGTTCCGGTCAGTAGCTATCAGGCAGTTCCTGGTCATAGCTATTTATATACAGACGTTCCTGGTCAGTAGCTATATACAGCATTCATCAGTACTATATAAGGCACAGTAGGCAACAAACAGACAGTTCAGGTCATAGCATAAACAGGGAGTCAGTAGCTATTATACAGGGACAGTTCCAGGGTCAGTAGCTATATACAGGGACAGTTCCAGGGTCAGTAGCTATATACAGGGACAGTTCCAGGGTCAGTAGCTATATACAGGGACAGTTCCAGGGTCAGTAGCTATATACAGGGACAGTTCCAGGGTCAGTAGCTATATACAGGGACAGTTCCAGGGTCAGTAGCTATATACAGGGACCTATATACAGGGACGATTAGCTTACATGGACCCTATATACAGGGACCCTGTATATAGCTACTGACCCTGGAACTGTATATAGATGTGTCACTAGTAGATCATTAATCCAGTGTGATGACCATTGAATACCGTACGATGTCTGTATTAAGCCAGCTCCAAGATGAGGAAAATAATTGTTATGTTCTATTATAGTGAAATTTGAGGGATTCTAATTCAGTATTAACACAGTACAATTGGATGGTAAACATTTTGTCCGAATTCTGCATGAATGAATGAATTAATTAAAATCCCTCAAAGTCCACTGTAATATGAAGTAACATATGAACTTTGAACTTTGAGGGATTTTAATTCATGCATTCATTCACGCAGACATATGACAAAATGTTTACCATCCAATTTTACTGTGTTAAAATTGAATTATAATCCATCAAAGTTCACTGTAATATGCAGTAGACTAGTGTTTTTCCAAGGTTGTAGCTGGCATAATTTGGACATGTTATGCTTTGCGATGTTAATGACATTGGATTAGTGATGTAATAATAATATGCCATTTAGCAGATGCTTTTATCCAATGCGACTTACATTCATGCGTGCATACATTTTTGTGTATGGGTGGTCCCGGGGATCGAACCCACTACCTTGGCGTTACAAGCGCCGTGCTCTACCAGCTGAGCTACTAGTGGCACTCATCTCAAAAAAGGTTTACCAGCCATTCTTACAGTTATTATTATTATTTTTTACATAGGGGTCATCAAAGTTGACTGTAATATAATAATATAACTACTTAACTATTTAACACACATGATAAAGATAATGTAGTTATTTAACACTTTATTTATAATCTCTCTTTAATGAGACAAGGAATGTGTAGCATTGGGGAAAGTAGTGGTACGTGTTAATTGTAGGGGTTCCCATGGGGCTGGTGATCAGACATGTCCGGTGTGAGAGAGAGAGAGGCAGGTTGAGGGTTAGAGCAGTGCAGAAGTTGTCGTACGCTGAGGCAGTGAAGAAACTATAGGAAGATGGGTCAAGGGGGAGGGATCCTGAGAGGAGTGGTGTGAGTAGTAGATTGGATTTTTGCCATTTATAGCAATGGTTATCAACTGTACTGCAGGGATGGAACCTAAGTCGCAGAAAATAGAGGTGCAACCAAGAAGAGTAGTAATATGTTCACTCTGCATCAGTTTTGTGTAATTTAAAATCTGGAAAGTCAGAACGTGAACGTTAGAAATAATGATGTTGTTGTTATGGTTACAAAGAAACGGTATTGAAATTCAGTTCTGTTGTATTGCGGCTCATTTATGGAAGTGATATAGTAGACATAACGGCACAAAGAACAGAGAAAAATAATATTGTGGATATACAGGTGCAGTTGGGTAGAGGGGAAATTGGGTTAGATTGCTGGCAGAGAATATAGGATGAAAGTAGCAAGGGCAGACATTTTTATAGAAAAGGAAATCTGTACGGGAGATAGTGTCGGTTGACAACTCCGTTGTGTCCTCCTCCCAGAGTGCGAAGAGCCTTGGCGTGACCCTGGACAACACCCTGTCGTTCTCTGCTAACATCAAGGCGGTGACCCGATCCTGCAGGTTCATGCTCTACAACATTCGGAGAGTACGACCCTGCCTTACACAGGAAGCGGCACAGGTCCTAATCCAGGCACTTGTCATCTCCCGTCTGGATTACTGCAACTCGCTGTTGGCTGGGCTCCCTGCCTGTGCCATTAAACCCCTACAACTCATCCAGAATGCCGCAGCCCGTCTGGTGTTCAACCTTCCCAAGTTCTCTCACGTCACCCCCCTCCTCCGCACACTCCACTGGCTTCCAGTTGTAGCTCGCATCCGTTACAAGACCATGGTGCTTGCCTATGGAGCAGTGAGGGGAACGGCACCGCCGTACCTTCAGGCTCTGATCAGTCCCTACACCCAGGCGAGGGCATTGCGTTCATCCACCTCTGGCCTGCTGGCTCCCCTTCCTCTGCGGAAGCATAGTTCCCGCTCAGCCCAGTCAAAGCTGTTCGCTGCTCTGGCACCCCAATGGTGGAACAAGCTCCCTCACGACGCCAGGACAGCGGAGTCACTCACCACCTTCCGGAGACATTTGAAACCCCACCTCTTTAAGGAACACCTGGGATAGGATAAAGTAATCCTTCTATCCCCCCCCCCCCCCCCCCCCAAAAAAAAAAGTATAATTGTAAAGTGGTTATCCCACTGGCTATAGGGTGAATGCACCAATTTGTAGTCGCTCTGGATAAGAGCGTCTGCTAAATGACATAAATGTGCCCTTGAGCAAGGCACTTAACCCTAATTGCTCCTGTAAGTCGCTCTGGATAAGAGCGTCTGCTAAATGACTAAAATGTAAAAATGTAAAATGTGTCATATAATGGGAACAGAAGGGAGGAGGTTATGTTGTGTAGGATGAGAGTAGGGCATACGGAATGTAATTAATCTTTGAAATTAATAGTACTTGGTACTGGAATGTGTAATGGCTGCATGGTAGACGAAACGGTTGAAAATGTATTATTATTTTGTGAACTGTATGATGTAGAAAGGGAGAGGTTGTTTGGCAGGGTCAGAGGTCAGACGGGAATGGGGAGTGGGTGGTATTTTTGGGTGGGGGTGATGGGAGTAGTGAGGTTTGTGGGGAATTCTTTCATTTTATTAGAAATTCAGGGTTAGTTAAGAAAATATAGTGGTATAGATTGGTCGTGACCGGCCTCACACTCCAGTACAGTAGATGGCAGTGTATGCAACTGTCAGTTGGTTGCGATTCGCCAATAAAACTTAAAAGAAGAAGAAGAAGACACTGTGCGCGTGCTAGCTAGCTAGGACTCCGGTAAACAGCAGGCGGGAGAAGGAGGCGTCCACCGGTAGCACATATATTTATAACTAACCCAAGATAATTCATCTGCGTCGTTTACAGTGGGAGCAAATTAAGCACAGGTGGGCAGAACAAGCAAGGAGGCGGGCACGAGTTAGCGAGATTCTATTGGTGCGTTGTCGCAATTATTTGCATATTTCTGTTAGGGAACGCCTCCGTTGTGAAAACAACGTGATTTTTAAACAATTTTGGCAAAGCGTCAAGTCTATAAAACTCAGTGCACTGTGTTCGTAACATATTTTAGTTTTGGGAACAGAAACATTTATTGAGATCAGATGTTTCATCGATGACAAAATGTGCAGAATGTCGGTCCAGTCTCCCCTAGTTACAGCCTCTCTCACTACATATTTGATGGTGAGAAAACGTGCATCAGTTTTATAGCCCGTGACTTGTCTAGGTTACCCATTTCTGTCTGTGCCGGTAGCACAGATAGAACTAGGAGTCAGATGTTTCACCGGATTTATACATCTGAAGCATCCGGTGGGAATTTCCACTCCCCACCAAATAAAGTGGGGAGAGGAAGCCCAATGGCCAGCAGTTTATGGAGCGAGATGTCACTGGGCTGACATTCTGCTGATTTTGCTATCGAAGAAAAGCCTGATCTCAATACAGTTCTCTTCCTGAAACTAAGGGGGTGGAGCACCTCTTTTGAGCCCCACCTGTTTAGCTAAAATATCTCTCTCTCTCTCTCTCTCTCTCTCTCTCTCTCTCTCTCTCTCTCTCTCTCTCTCTCTCTCTATATATATATATATTTTTTTTTTTTGTGTGCCTGTTTTGCATGTTATTTTGGCATTAATACGTGTCATATATCAGTTTGCAAACAATGTAAAAAACAATAATAATTGAGTTAATAAAGCCGCATACAAACATGGTCTCTTTTTTGATTTCTTGAGTAAGGCAGCTTCAAAATGCAGGTATTCCAGCCTAGCTCAGTGCTTTCTGTGGTGGTGGGGCATCCAGTGGAAAATACTGAGCGTAGGGATTGGTAATGTTCTCTAGTTTTTCCGTGATTGGCTCAGCGTTCTGTCACTCATGGGGACACTACGTCACCGCAAAATCTACAGGGAGAGCTCCAATATTCAAGCCCCTTGGGTGCTGCCATAGATTTACATTAGAAGTGCCCATCCAAGAAGGCTCAAGGTCATTGGCCACAGATAAAATTAAGTCAAATCACGTTATATCTACCCTAGCTTTGATTGGACTGATCATGTCAGCATCATAATCTTAGCTAGCAGGCTAGACAAACAGTCATCATCATGAATCAAGTCAATCTACTGGCAAATCCTTTTCAATCCTTGCCATATGAAGAGAAATTATAGATAAAACGTATCTGTGCTCATTGGCCATTGGACATAAACATTACACAACAAGTTGGAAATCGCAAATTCAACAATGAGTGGTTTGGAAGGAATCAGTGGCTAACTGCAAGCGTTGCAAAGCCATCTATTCAGTGGAGAGGGTGTGTGGTCCAAGTCTGGGTTTAAAGGTATCTTTTCCAAGCTTAAAAGGATAAACATTTACATGCAACACAATGGGCCAGAAAAGGTTGAATACATTGGCCACGTTCAAAACAATTGGAAACTCGGAACTGGGACATCTCAGACTTCAGTGAGTTCAAGACAACTGGGAACTCTGAAAAAAACTAGCTCAGACTGGGAAAATACGTTTTAAACGGTCATCCAACTCGGAATTCCAAGTCGGGAACTCTGACCTCTTTCTAAAGCTCCGACCTGAAGATCACTGACGTCATGATTCGACATTGTTTTTCTTCCTAGTTCTCAGTTGTCTTGAAAGCACCATTAAGCCAGAGAATGCCAGGCTTTGATGACAAAGTTCGATGACAAAATTTGCCCACAAGAAGGACCACCGCGCCACCTTCCTGTTCAAGTGAGCACAGCACAACAAGGTGAGTCCAAAAATTTATTGTATGCTGCTGCATAAATGATGTAATATGCCAGGGAGATATGTATACTGTAGCTAAGAAAGTAATACTAAGTGTATGTTGTGTATTAAGCTGTTAGTAGCCAATGTGCCTTAACCTAATAATTTTCTCCCTTTCCCCCTCATATTTTAGCCTACTGTTCTGACTGGTGGTGCACATGTAGCATATAGCCTGTTTTAGAGAAATGTCATCATCAAATATTATAAGAGCTTTCATTGTCTGCTTATATGCCCCCTTTATTTATCCTACGGTTCTGACTTGGTGTACAGGGAGAATACTGTAAGAACGGCCCATGTTCTGAATTCTGTAGCTGTACATTTCAAAAGTGCTGAACAAATAGTTATATTGACGACACCTGGCTATCAGGCTATCACCTGGCTTAGTTAGCTCATGAATGTCTTAATCGAAATTACAGATTGCTTCTTATCTGCTCATCGTTCCCTTATGCCATAGTTTGTACATCTCAATTGTCAGTAGAAACCACATTTGTATAAGCAAGTCAGCCATATCAGCTATGTCTTTTTTTTAAAGGCAGTAAATGAGTCTGAATGAACTGTTTCGTTGCCAGACAAGGCTCCGCTAATAGCCAGGTGTAGCAGTGGTAAGGATTCACTCCATGGTGCTGAAAAGAAAGCTCTGCAGTTGGGACAGCTTTATGTAGGCCCTAACAGTTTCACCGTTTCTCATGTTGAGTTTGCCCCACCAAGATTGACATGCTAAAATCGCCACTGGAGGGGGAGACACTGCGAGATTAGTGCCAGGAGCAAATTATTCTCAGGCAGTTGAATAGACAGCGACTGGGGTCCTACAACCCTTTAACTCACGCATGCGCATGAGGGAAATTCTCTTTCTCGGTGGACACAATGGCGGACGCAGAGTGAGTGATTTTTGCTCTGCCAGAATCTATGGCCATCTACTAATTTAACAAATAATCCTACGTTATTTGACATTAAATTGTTTATCGTCAGTTAACGAACATGTTTGTCGCGTCGGTAGTGTTGAGTGACGTTTTCTACTCTACGATATTTTTTGTTCATTTGGTTGACTCGGACTGGATGTGGGCATAAACATGCCCGGTTTGCGAATCAATTTGCACGTTTTAAGCTATATGCGTGGCTCGTAGTGTTACTTACATATTGTCGATGAGTTGCAAACTATATTTTCTGAATATTTCGCTGTTTGATCCCCTCTATATCACAATGTAGACTTGGCGTCTTGTCTTCGGCCGGCGAAACTAACTAGCTAATTTACTAAGCCAGGCTCACGTTTTGGGAATGGGTAGTTAACACTAACAGCCTTCGCAACATGTTTGGTCCGTTAAGGTATTATTCCTCAGTCGGTCACTTCCATGTTTTTAAACAGTTTTTTGCTACTCTAAACAAAGTGTTGCCTCTGTTGCAGAAAAAAGGTTCCGGCGGTCCCTGAGAGCCTTTTGAAAAGGCGCAAGGCCTTCGCCACCATGAAGGCCATGCGCATCAAGAAGATGCTGGCCGATAAAAAGGCAAGTTTGAACTAACCCAAGTAATAACCTAACTAGCAGGCTTCCATATTTACGTTTTACAATGCATACAATCTCCCCAGAAATGCAGGTGATGTACTGCGTAGAACTGGCTGGTTGTGGGGGGTAATAGCTATCCATTTAAGCCCCACTGTCATTCAATCGGTATAACTACAATGTGGTTAATGATGCTCAACTTTTTTCCCCATCTTATCGACTCTGGTGAAACCAGTCAGAAATAGCCAATTTGTCTGAAACCACATAGAAATGTTGTCCTAAATAAGCAATGTCAGCTGTAACCTTTAGCTATCCACTCCATCAGTTTAAACACAGCTTCCTGTAGGATGTTAACCCATAAAAGGAGGCATTAATTCAAGGTTTATTCAAATGTGTAAAATTTGATTGGTCAAGCACCAAATATGGAAGAGACAACCAAGAGCAGCGCAGTCTGAACTAGCAAAGGTCACAGCAAATTAACGTTCTTATTGTATCAACACTGTCAAGTCTAAGGTTATAATATTGTAAATAATAATCTAGTTGATGCTATGTAATTTATAATGACATGGGGCAAAGAATTACGCTTCCAACATTAATTTCATAGCGCACTGTTTTTCTCTACAACGTGCAGTATCAACTTTGGTCCTACTGTGAAGTTAAACTATAGGTGTTACTCTGCTGTAGTGTTCTGCTCCGACTCATAGTTGACGCCTCGTATCCCCAGACTCGCAAGGTGACCAGGAAACTGATCTACAAGAGGGCTGAGAAGTACCACAAGGATTACAGGGAGATGTACAGGCGCGAGATCCGCATGGGGCGGACGGCCCGCAAGGTCGGGAACTTCTATGTCCCAGCTGAGCCCAAGCTGGCCTTCGTCATCAGGATCAGGGGGTACGTTTTCTGTGGATGAAAGTCTGCTAAATGCATATATTTTTTTTGTCAGATTTCCATGTGTCTTGTACACCATTACTCAGGTGCTGGGTAAAACATGGATGTAATTAAGTCGTTACCTGGACACTGATTTTTATTTGTTGTGACTTGGTATAGCTGGTGACAATGTCTCCTTCCTGTCTTTCAAACTTCTTCACAATGTGGTTAATGATGCTCAACTTTTTTCCCCATCTTATCGACTCTGGTGAAACCAGTCTGAAAACTAAGCCAATTTGTCTGAAACCACACTGAAGGTAAACTAAAAACCGACTGGAAAATGAAAACTAGTGACGCTGTGCTGAACAACATGTACCTCTCTGCCTGGCCCCCCTCTCAGTATCAACGGCGTCAGCCCCAAGGTGCGCAAGGTCCTCCAGCTCCTGCGTCTGCGTCAGATCTTCAACGGAGTGTTCGTCAAACTGAACAAGGCTTCAATCAACATGTTGAGGATCGCCGAGCCCTACATCGCTTGGGGGTAAGGCTGACAATACTACCACGGTGTATTCACTAGGAAGCCAATGGGCCAAAGTAGGGTGGGACTAACCTGAATTGGCCAATAAGAAATGCTCGTTTTCGTAGCGGAACTTTTCATGTTGCAAACGGGTTTGCACTAATAAATACACCCCTGCTTTGTGAACACCCTGTTGAATTTGAGGGTTACGGTTCTGTGTCGCTTGAGGTAGATGGTACAACTTGTCCCGGAAGTTCTTCACAATGTGGTTAATGATGCTCAACTTTTTTCCCCATCTTATCGACTCTGGTGAATCCAGTCTGAAAAATAAGCCAATTTGTCTGAAACCACATTGATATTACTAATGGCACTCAGTAAAACCCTTAAAAAACACTTCTGTCACGCCCAGTATGAAATGATCCAAATTAATGTTTTGGTTGGGTGCAGCTGCGGTAGTTATCACTGTTTTTGTTTGCGACTACACTACTTGCACCACGGTGGTCCACAGATAGTAGTTTTGTGCTCTCGTCTCCCAGGTACCCCAACCTGAAGTCGGTGCGCGAGCTGATCTACAAGCGTGGCCACGGCAGGATGACCAAGCAGCGCATCGCCCTCACAGACAACGCCCTGATCGAGAAGGCCCTGGGTACGCATTTTCAAGCCTTCATAATGTTGGAAGTCAAAGCCATTTTCACATTTACTCTACTGTAGAATAGATGGGTTGTCTGCACTGTAATGATTGTCCCGTCATTCAATCTTCGTCCACAATGTGGTTAATGATGCTCAACTTTTTTCCCCATCTTATCGACTCTGGTGAATCCAGTCTGAAAAATAAGCCAATTTGTCTGAAACCACATTGAATCATTTGGACATAGATATCCCATTACTGTACACAGACCTTTAGCCACAAGCATTTCGCTACACCCACAATAACATCTGCTATATATACAGTGCTTTCGGAAAGTATTCCAGACCCCTTGACTTTTCCTACATTTTGGTACGTTATAGCATTAGTCTAAAATGGATTTAAATAGTTTTTTCCCCCTCATCAATCTACACACAATACCCCATAATGACAAAGCCAAAACAGGTTTATAAAGAACTGAAATCACATTTACTTAAGTATTCAGACCCTTTACTCAGTACTTTGTTGATGAACCTTTGGCAGCGATTACAGCCTCAAGTCTTCTTGGGTATGACGCTACAAGCTTGGCACACCTGTATTTGGGGAGTTTTTCCCCATTCTTCTCTGCAGATCCTCTCAAGCTCTGTCAGGTTGGATGGGGAGCGTTGCTGCACAGCTATTTTCAGGTCTCTCCAGAGGTGTTAGATCGGGTTCAAGTCCGGGCTCTGGCTGGGCCACTCAAGGACATTCAGAGGCTTGTCCCGAAGCCACTCCTGCGTTGTCTTGGCTGTGTGCTTAGGGTCATTGTCCTGTTGGAAGGTGAACCTTCACCCCAGTCTGAGGTCCTGAGCGCTCTGGAGCAGGTTTTCATCAAGGATCTCTCTGTACTTCGCTCCGTTCATCTTTCCCTCGAACCTGACTAGTCTCCCAGTCTCTGCCACTGAAAAACATCCCCACAGCATGATGTTGCCACCACCATGCTTCACCGTAGGGATGGTGCCAGGTTTCCACCAGACGTGATGCTTGGCATTCAGGCCAAAGAGTTCAGTCTTGGTTTCATCAGATCAGAGAGTCTTGTTTCTCATGGTCTGGGAGTCTTTAGGTGCCTTTTGACAAACTCCAAGCGGGCTGTCATGTGCCTTTTTACTGAGGAGTGGCTTCCGTCTGGCCACTCTACCATAAAGGCCTGATTGGTGGAGTGCTGCAGAGATGGTTGTCCTTCTGGAACGTTCTCCCATCTCCACAGAGGAACTCTAGAGCTCTGTCAGAGTGACCATCGGGTTCTTGGTCACCTCCCTGACCAAGGTCTTTCTCCCCAGATTGCTCTGTTTTGGCCGGACGGCCAGCTTTAGGAAGAGTCTTGGTGGTTCCAAACTGCCATTTTAAGAATTATGGAGCACCCTGTGTTCTTGGGGGACCTTCAATGCTGCATAACACAATTGGTACCCTTCCCCAGATCTGTGCCTCAACACAATGCTGTCTCTTAAACTCTACGGACAATTCCTTCAACCTCATGGCTTGGTTTTTGCTCTGACATGCACTGTCAACTGTGGGACCTTATATAGACAGGTGTGTGCCTTTCCAAATCATGTCCAATCAATTGAATTTACCACAGGTGGACTCCAATCAAGTTGTAGAAAAATCTCAAGGATGATCAATGGAAACAGGATGCACCTGAGCTCAATTTCGAGTCTCATAGCAAAGGGTCTGAATACTTATGTAAATAAGGTATTTCTGTTTTTATATTTTTATAAATTTGCAAAAAAAAATTAACCTGGTTTCGCTTTGTCACCCCCTGTATATAGCCTCCCTACTGTTTATTTTATTTTACTGCTTCTCTTTAATTATTTTTAATTTCTCTTGTTTTACTGCATTGTTGGTTTAGGGCTTGTTTCACTGAAGTCTACACCTGTTGTATTCGGTGCATGTGGCAAACAAAATTAATTTGTCATCATGGGGTGTTGTGTAGATTGCTGAGGGGAATCCATTTTAGAATAAGGCTGTAATGTGACAATGTGTGAAAAGTCAAGGGGTCTGAATACTTTCCGAAAGCACTATGTTACCAATACAATTTAGAAGGGGTTATCTTTGATTGGTACCGATCATTGTCAATTTGATCTCCTGGATGGTCAGTCCTTCCATATGAATTTGAGTGGTTACATTTCTCCAACCCCATCCCTCAGCTCTTTGAATTGAACTGCAGATTGCCCTCTTTTTTTTTTTTAAACAAATATGTACAAGGACTCTTCACTCTGTCCTCGTCCCTCCAGGTAAATACAGCATCATCTGCATGGAGGACCTGATACATGAGATCTACACAGTCGGGAAGAACTTCAAGCCTGCCAACAACTTCCTGTGGCCCTTCAAGCTGTCCACCCCCCGCGGCGGCATGAACAAGAAGACTACTCACTTTGTGGAGGGAGGCGATGCTGGAAACAGGGAGGACCAGATCAACAGACTTGTCAGGAGGATGAACTAGAGGTGAGATGCGGCACACGTCAGGGTTAAGGCAGCGTTTCCCAACACTGGCATGGTGTAGCTGTCAGCATCAGGTTTGGTGACTACTGCCTACATGATCAGCTTTATACCAGTGTTATGATCGAGAACAAAACCATTTGAACATTGTTTTATGGGCATCTTCTCAAGTCCCAAGTGTCCCGTTTCTATTTTACACAATGTGGTTAATGATGCTCAACTTTTTTCCCCATCTTATCGACTCTGGTGAATCCAGTCTGAAAAATAAGCCAATTTGTCTGAAACCACATTAGTAAACCACTGGCACTTTGAGGATGTTCCCCCCCTCCAGTTACTTAATGAATTAAAGGAAGTTGTGTGTGTGTGTTAGATGCTCTGAATTTTAAAAGTTCAAGTTTCTGCTCAGCGCCGTAAAACACTTGAACATTGGCGACAACGGATCTCGAACTAAACATAGGAAATGTGTATTTGCCGTAAGCAATGTGGCTTGTTTTCTGGTATTAATGTTCACATTTCTTGTCTTTCAGGTTTTTCACAGGATGCTGTTGAGTTTGTACAATAAACATCAAAAGGAACTTATTGGTCTTGTCTCATAACTCTGGTGTCTGAAATCTATTTTGTGTGGCATTGGAGCATCCCAAGTGTGTTCCTACATAAAATACACTGGACTCTACTGCGGGGCTCTCCAAGCCTGTTCCTGGAGAGCTACCCTCCTGTAGGTTTTTGCTCTAGTTGTACCTAACATAATTCAGCTCATCAACCAGCTAATTTTTTTTTAGAGTCAAGTGCACTAAATTAGGGTTGGGGTGTGAACCTACAGGGCGGTAGCTCTCCAGGAATAAGGTTGGCGAGCCCTGCTCTACTCACCACTATTTTATCACATCAGTAATGACTTGAGCCACATCCGAGACATTTTGCAGTATTACAATGTAATACGTTTTCTTTATTTAGCATTTAGTCCAGCATGTATCCTGCTGTCACAAATGGGCACATTTCACTTTTTACAGGAAGGGTTTGTGTAAGGGAGTTGTTTTAGCAGTAGTTGAGGTGTATTTTTAGTATGTAAATGATTTAGGGCTGGGACCTTCTGATATGTTGGGCCAGCCACAGTCTGTAGCCATGGAAACTACATGACTCAATACGTCAGCTAGCTAGCTAGTAGCTAGTTGTTGTTTTTTTTGCTTACATACTGGCATGGCAAATTAGCTAGCCAGTTTATGATTTTTGGACATTTAGTGCAAAGTGTTATCTCTAGATTTTAGTCTGTACAGTGTAGCGTGCTGTCGTCAGTATTTTTAAAGCGGTAATGCACCCCATAGCCAGCCCGAAGCTGATGACACTACAGGTGGCGGCTTCTATCAGCACTGCCGGGGACTTCTCGCTGGGTTGCTCGGGTTACACTGGCGCACGGTTGGGCCGAGGCAGCTATGGAGCTCTCGGCCGCAGTCATCGTCCGGGGTTTAGTATACCAAGAGGAAGGCTGGCCGGAGTCAAGCCGAGTCATGTCCACACACCTAGGAGAAAATGCCCTCAGAACGGTAAGTAGTTGATGCTTTATTAGTTATGCTTACTTAAATCTGTTTTTAGTTTGGGTACGGTGAAGAAACCCATAGTGGCGCGTATGATTTTACATGTCTAAAGTGTATGCAAATAGATTATACAAAGGGGTAGGCGTTTAAAACATGTTTCTTAAAGAGGTAGTCAATTTCTTCTCAACCATGAGGCATGCGTGCAATTAATCTGTGCAGTTAAATGAATAATCATCCAAATCCACAAATTCCTGATTTACATTGTTAAATAATGCATGTGAGTTGGGACGCAATTTATGGAAAACTGCAGTTAAAGTCGACTACAAACACCCAATGCAATGCTGTCTCTAGTAGTTCCACACAATAGTCGATATCCAAATGAGAAGTAGTTAGTACAGTTTATTTCAGGGATTTTACAACTAGCTATCAATGTGGGCGTTAGGATCTCTCCATATTCAACCTGGTAGAGATCGCATTTCTATCTCAAAGCTATGCGAGTCCTGTTGCTATGGCAACGGTCAAGGGCCCTGTTAGCCTGCAACCTATAGAACCCCGTTTGGAGTTAGCAACTTCTGGGGTATCTAGCTAGCTTAAGCTTGGTACCTAGCTAGCACCAAATGCAACCAGCCTGAAAACAATGACCAGTAGAAACTGCAGTTATTTTCAATATTCTCAGCAATGATTTCGGAATCAACGTGAGTAAGTATTAGCTAGGTAGCCACTCGTTGTTCTCCTAATGAAATAACTAGCTAGCCAGCCCAAAACTAAAGTTATAAACAACCAGCTAGCTTCATCTGGCTGGTATGGTTTGACTGGACCGGATTATGTGTTGTGAAACTAGCCACAGTAGTGGCATTTGCGTTTCGCCTGAAAATAAAAGGCCCTCATTTGATAGTGATGCAGAAGGTTAGAATTGGCGGAATCATGCTATATATATATATATATATATATATATGACATGACTAGATCATGTTAAACAAGGATGAAATGGGGTACCAGTCTACTCGGTGACACCCACAGAACACAACTGTGAAGAGTTTACCCAAATATTAGTGTCGTAGCTCTTATTGCGGGATTTTGACTGTGGGAAATCACCTCCCAGTCAGCCTATTGACATATTGCACTGTACAGCCTTACCTAAGGATTGGGGATCAATGAAATGGGGTGTCGGTCTACTCAGTACCCAAGTGTTTTTTCCCCCAAAGAAGTCCTCAGTTATCAGGCTCCAAAACATCCAGGTTGTATTGTTTTTCCTCTGCAATTGTGTTAAATACACATAGTAGGTTGACTAGTACAATAAATGTGGCTCAATTCACAGTGGTTTCAGAGTCCCGCAATAAGAGCTATGACAATGTTCTCTGGGTGTCAGAGTAGACTGATACCCCATGTCTGCTAAATGGCATATTATTATTATATTGTTGATCCACAATCCATAGGAAACAAGTATGCCCCCAATGCAGTTCTAAAGTCTAATACATCCAGTGTGATTTCATCAGATTTTTGTCAAAATAACAAGTTATTGTATTTTGTTGAATTTATATAAGAACATTCCTACCTCGTTTAGCACGATATATTCCATTATGGCATTATTCCACTATTTGTATTAATTTGCATCACTTTCATTGAGGTTTATTTTGAAGGCGAACCACAAATTCCGCTATTGTGGCTAATCCTAATTGTGGCTAGCTTCACGTTGGTGGGTCCGACCACCATTAATCAAATAAATACTGTTTTATAAATTAGGGGTGTTTTTAGATTATGACACCTAGCTAGAAAGTTAGCTAACTATAGCTACTGAAACAACAGTTGTTTTGCTATGTTTTTGGGGAAGAATATTGTTTGCATCCATCAACTAGCTAGCTTTTTTATGACCACTGTCCAGAGCTTGGGGAAGTGTCTTTACCCACATCATAGCATACGTTTCGGTGAATCGTTGTGACATGAAATACGAGGTGATGGTGTAATCAATGTGTAATAACTACGTAAATGAATGAACGTGTTAAATGATTGTGACGTGGACTCATCTTCAGGTCCTGATGGGGTCAACAAGCTTGTAGAAAAAACGAAGCAAGGGAAGCGCTGCAAGGTACACAATAGTCGATTTTGGTTGACAGAAGGCGCTCTTTGGTAAATCGGTCATCAAAAAGGAGCACCAAGGCACTCTTAAATATAATTAATTAAAATGCCTTTATTTGTATGGCATGTTCAATGGAAACAACTTTTTTTTTTTTTTTTTTTACTCCGACGCGTTTCGGTTGCATGGCCTTCGTTAGGGATTACAAAAATATGATAATACAATGTCCTCTTGAACAGATTTTTCCAATCAACCCAGATTAGAAGAGGGAATGGTTACAGAATTCATTGGACAACACCTAGTAAGCAATACTATACCCATTTAAAAAAGTGAAATACTGTAGATATGTTATCAAAAAAATAGAGGAATCAGAACCCCCAGAAAGGTAGTTCTAACCTTGAACATGACCGGGCAAAGTGTTAAGAACAGGAGAGCCATTTACATTTTAGCAGACGCTCCTATCCAGAGCGATTTACATGAGCAATTAGGGTTAAGTGCCTTGCTCAAGGGCACATCGACAGATTTTTCACCTAGTCGGCTCGGGGATTAGAACCAGCGACCTTTCGGTTACTGGCACAACGCTCTTAACCACTAAGCTACCTGCCGCCCATCCATTCTATAGTACACTAGAGCACAGCAAACATGGACCAAAACGGTCCAAACATAGCGGAGGGCAACAGCACAAAGAGCCAATGAATTCTGTAACCGTTCCCTCTTCTAATCAGGGTTCATTGGAAACATCTGTTCAAAAGAGGACATTGTATTATCATATTTTTGTACTCCGAAGGCCATGCAACCGAAACGCGTCGGAGTAAAAAAACAACAACCGGTGTTTCCATTGAACATGCCATACAAATAGTCATTTATATTAATTATATGAATAGTGCCTTGGTCCTCATGATGGGCAACAAGCTTAGTTGACGTGTATCTTTTTTGAGACGCAAAGACGCAAATGGCGTCCCATAGCAACCGTTCTTACAGTGCCTCACTTGCCTGCAAGCGGGGAGACAGGAGAACCGCTTTGCGCAATGGGAGTTGAAGTCATTAAGGATATTAATCTGATGGTGCACTTTAAGGACATTTTAACATAATAAAACTTAGTCCTGAGGATATAGACAGATGGTTTATGTTCTAGACAACTATGCCCATCCCCTATCTCCAGTGAGGATAACCTTATGATGACGTTTCACGTCACATTTCAATTATAGGGTGGAATATCCCTTTAAGGGCAAGGCATGTTGCTTTGTTTTGAGCCAGCTGGCCGTCTGACAGTCCATTATATGTATGTCCAGAGCAAATCTATATCACTGCTTCCCAAATGTCACCATTTTCCCTGTGTAGTGCCCGTAGGGTTCTGGTCTAAAGTAATGCACTCATGAATAGGACCTATTTGCCCCTTGGGGAGTCTGCTGTAGAGCACTGACCCCATTTCATTAGCCACCAGCTAGCCAGACTACCTATTACACACTGGTAATGTTTCACGATGAGATGGGGTACACTGTAGTTAGATGGGGTACACTGTAGTTAGATGGGGTACACTGTAGTTAGATGGGGTACACTGTAGTTTATTGCTTGGCCTTAGCTAACGGAGCCATGGAGCCATGCCATCGTGGAACGCTCTGCCACCAGCGGTTACTCAGGCAAAAAGCAAGCTTAGCTTGAAAAAAACACGTATTTTTACCTATCACAGCACCTCTCCTCAATCTTAAGATCTAATTCAACTGTACTGTATATAAGAATATGATTATGCATATATGAAAAGTGTGTAAATTTTGTCTCTTGGTGTCTTTCCAATAACTTATTTTATTTGGACTTTAATGTCATCTTATGTTCTTGTCTATAACTGTTCTGTACTTTCATGTATTTTTTTTTTTTTATGTGGACCCCAGGAAGAGTAGCTGCTGCGTGTGCAGTAGCTATTGGGGAATCCCAATACACTCAATTAAACACCTGTAGTGTGATTGAATCATCTACTATGCTGGTTCCACTTTCTTCACATCTTACAGCTGAATACCACAGCATGCCTTTTTATTTTGAAATTCTAGACTCCAGGGACGGGAAGGATTCCAACTGGAATGTGGAGGGGTAAGTAACGTTAAGTGTACAAGAGAATGTGTATACGTCCCAAATGGCACCCTATTCCCTATATAGTGCACTACTTTAGACCAGAGAATGGCACCCTATTCCCTATATAGTGCACTACTTTGGATGGGCCCTGGTCAAAAGTTTCAAGTTTTAATGTCACATGCACAAGTACAGTGCAATGCATTCTTAAACTCAAAACCCAACAATGCAATAATTAATACAATGTATTACTAGAAAAAAACACACAAGAATAGGAAATATGAAATACACAATTAAGTAAGTAATCATACTATATACAGGAACTACTTAAAGTGTGTTCTAATACTGTATTTACATGTGCAGGGATACTGTAGTGATGGGGGTAGATATGTATAGGGGTAAGTGCACTATATAGGGAGTAGGATGCCATTTGGAATGCACACTCAGGTTAGCTATATTAGTTGGCACTACTCCATTCAGTTGAATGAATGTTAATTTGTGGCCTCCTATTGAATGTTATTTACATGTTGTTCAGGTCTACTTCCTCTTTCCTGGGCAGAGAGGTGTCTCCTTTGTCCCAACTTGACTCCTCAGATAATAACTACCCTGAGAAAGACCTCTGTGGGAGACACTTTCTGTTTGATAATAAATGGAAGAATGACAGCAGGATGTATCCCAAGTATGATTTCAGAGGTATTTGTTTATTTTTTCCAATTTAATTATTACTGTAAGGTCGTACAGTAGTGAAGGCGCAGTTTGGTTGTTGGACACGTGTGACTACAGTGTGTCACCAGTAGATGGCGACCTCAGCATTTGTATTTTTTTTCAACGGCCAAGCTATTGAAATGATCAGGCTTGGTTGCCTGCTATTCAAATAAGAACATTAGCTAGCAGCAGTCCTTTTGTGTGTAAATGTTTCTAGGCACTTATTTGTAGCTGCAACATCCACGTCAAACTGAGGCTTTACCTTCTATATGAGCCAGTGTTGTTTTCAATTTCCACACAATCTTGTTGACATATTCTCTTAGTAAAGCTTACTTTTTAAAATGATATTTCCCCCCTAGATGAGCGTCCCCTGAAGCCCAGCGGCTCCATCCCTCCCCTGCCCAGAGAATACCAGACCCACCGGTCGGGCCAACTCCACCACTATACCCTTCGCAAGGAGCTTTCCCACGCCCCTGCTCGCCCCTGTGCCTTTAGGTAAGCAGACCCCGCTTGGCCTTCGGGTAACTAAGCAGCTCATCCTGATTATTTCTTCCCCGCCATTAATCCAGCACTGTGTCTCTACTGTCGATAAATGCCAGAGTCGGACTCAGCCGTGTTTAGAATGAAACGGGCCCCAACTGCCTAGGGGGCCCACAGAGACAGTTTTTAACGCAAATGAAAAACTAACACTAATTACCTGAAATTAAAATGACTAAAATGTAAATGTGCGGTGTTAGGGTGTTGATGGTGGGTACCTTTGCCCTCCAGCTCTTATGAGGCGTATGAGCTGAAGTCATTTCCTGCCATCCTGTTGCCAGCTGCAGCCTCGCTCAATGGAAGAAACCCCTTCTCAACAGAAGGCTACAAGAACAGGTACCAGAGGATTGTTATTGCACCATCACAGTATTATAGCTACATTATGTCTACACCCTATTGCCTTTCAAAAGTATTCACACCCCTTATCTATTTACACATTTTGTTGTGTTACAGCCTGAACTTAAAATGGATTAAATTGAGATTTTGTGTCACTGGCCTACACACACTACCCCATAATGTCAAAGTGGAATTTATGTTTTGAGAAATGTTTACAAATTATGCTGAACAAAAATATAAACGCAACATGTAAAGTGTTGGTCCCATGTTTCAAGAGCTGAAATAAAAGATCCCAGAAATGTTCCATATGCACAAAAAGCTTATTTCTCTCAAATGTTGTGCACAGATTTGTTTATCCCTGTTAGTGAGCATTTCTCCTTTGCCAAGATAATCCATCCTCCTGACAGGTGTGGCATATCAAGAAGCTGATAAAACAGCATGATCATTACACAGGTGCACCTTGTGCTGGGGACAATAAAAGGCCACACTAAAATGTGCAGTTTTGTCACACAACACAATGCCACATGTCTTAAGTTTTGAGGGAGCGTGGATTTGGCATGCTGACTGTAGGAATGTCCACCAGCACTGTTGAGTGTTTAAAAAAAAAAGTTAATTTCTGTACCATTTGGCATTATGTCCAACCGGCCTCAAAACCGTGTAACCACGCTAGCCCAGGACCTCCACATCCAGCTTCTTCACCAGCGGGATCATCTGAGACCAGCCACCCGGACAGCTGATGAAACTGAGGAGTAGTTCTGTCTGTAATAAAGCCCTTTTGTGGGGGAAAAACCCATTCTGATTGGCTGGGCCTGGCTCCCCAGTGGGTGGGCCTATGCCCTCCCAGGTCCACCCATGGCTGTGCCCCTGCCCAGTCATGTGAAATCCATAGATTAGGGCCTCATTTATTTCAATTGACTGATTTCCTTATATGAATTTTAACTCAATAAAATTGTTGAAAACGTTGCATGTTGCGTTTATATTTCTGTTCAGTATAATTACAAATTTAAAAGCTGAAATGTCTTGAGTCAAAGGATTCAGCCCCTTTTGTTTTGGCAAGCCTCAATAAATTCAGGAGTAAGAATTTGCTTGGACTCACTCTGTGTGCAGTAATAGTGTTTAACATGATTTATTGACTACCTTGTCTCTGTACCCCACACATACAATTATCTGTAATGCCCCTCAGTCGAGCAGTGAATTTCAACCACAAAGACCAGGGAGGTTTTCCAATGCCTCGCAAAGAAGGTAGATTGGTAGATGGGTAAAAAAAAAAAAGATATTGAATATCCCTTTGAGCATGGTGAAGTTATTAATTACACTTTGGATGATGTACTGATCAATACACCCAGTCACTATAAGGATACAGGTGTCCTTTCTAACTCAGTTGCCAGAGAGGAAAGAAACCGCTCAGGGATTTCACCGTGAGGCCAATGGTGACTTTTAGAACAGTTTTCGCCTATAACAACCATTAAACTCTGTAACTAAGGATGGATAAACACCATTGTAGTTACTCCACAATACTAACTTAAATGACAGTGAAAAGAAGGAAGCCTGTACAGAATAAACAATATTCAAAAACATGCATCCTGTTTGCAATAAGACACTAAAGTAAAACTGCAAAAAATGTGGCAAATGAAATTCATTTTATGTCCTGAATACAAAGCGTTATGTTTGGGGCAAATCCAACACATCACTGAGTACCACTCTTCATATTTTCAAGCATGGTGGTGGCTGCATCATGTTATGGGTATGCTTGTCATCGGCAAGGACTAGGGGAGTTTTTGGGGGGATAAAAATCTACGTAATAGAGCTAAGCACAGGTAAAGTCCTTGAGGAAAACCTGGTTGTCTGCGTTCCACCAGACACTGGGAGACATTCACCTTTCAGCAGGACAATAACTTAAAACACAAGGCCAAATCCATACGAGTTGCTTACCAAGACTGCATTGAAGGTTTCTGAGTGGCCTAGTTACAATTTTGACTTACATTTCCTCAAATCTATGGCAAGACTTGAAAATGGCTGTCTAGCAATGATCAACAATCAACTTGACAGAGCTTGAAGAATTACAAAAATAATAAAAATGATGGTCTCTGTGGTCCTCGGTAGCTCAATTGGTAGAGCATGGCGCTTGTAACGCCAGGGTAGTGGGTTCGATCCCCGGGACCACCCATACGTAAAAACGTATGCACACATGACTGTACGTCGCTTTGGATAAAAGCGTCTGCTAAATGGCATATTAATAATGTGCCAATATTGTACAATCCAGGTGTGCAAAGCCTTTAGAAACTTACCCGCTACCTAAGATGATTCTAACATGTATTGACTCGGGGTTGCGAATAATTATGTAAATGAGATTTCAGTATTTCATTTTCAATGAATTTGCAAAAATGTCTAAACATTTGTCACTTTGTCATTATGGGGTTGTGTGTGTGTGTGTGTGTGTGTAGATGGGTGAGATAAAAAATCAATTGAATCAATTTTGAATTCAGGCTGTGTAACAACAATGTGGAATAAGTCAAAGGGTATGAATACTTTCTGAAGGCCCATAGGGCCAAATGGCACGCCATAGGGTATTAGTCAAATATGCTGCAATATATAGGGCCCTCATACTCAACTCTGGACCTCGAAGCCAGTTCCCCTCTAATCAGGCACTGATTTAGACCTGGGACACCAGGTGGGTGTAATTAACTATCAGTTAGAACAGAAAACCATCAGGCTCTGGACCTCGTAGGGTTTAGAGTTGAATTCCCTTGATGTAGAGAACAGGTTGCTGTTTGGGATGCGTGTCTACAGTATGTAGCGTGACGTTTCAGTAGTTTTGAGGGTGACTAGTCTTTTTTTGCTCATTCTGTTCTCAGACCCGGAGTAAATAACAGAACCTGCAGTCTATTCACAATAGGAGCTAATCAGAAATGTAAGTATAATTTTAAAACAACAAAAAACTATGTTTTTAAGTGAGAGGTAGGCATTGATCTGAAGCTGAAAAAATAAAGGAAATTCACATGAGCACCACAATTCCTATTCCACCCATGCTCTACCAAGGTTTTCCAGCACACAGCTTTGTCCTACTACAGTAGTTATGTTGGTCTATTCTACTTCAAACTGTGTGTAGGCAGGTTGCTTAGGATTCACACCTTCTCAAACAGCCTGATTCATACTCTTTGAGGAGGTGCTTCCACAGTAATGTGGTTTGTACCACATACAAGTTAAAGTTGTGGATTCTTCACACCACACTAATCCCATTCCACTACGTTTTTTTTATTTTTTTATTTTTTTTAATTATATGAAAACAAGCTTTGCTATTATACTTACAAGACCATCATGCTTGCTTGATTGAGCGAGCTGTTTTGTCTTGTAGTAATGTGGTGCCTGCATGTATTTCCTTAAACCTTTTTATTTAGCAATATATGTAATTGAGAAAATAAATACAGTATATTTTTTGGTTCAGTAGGTGCCCAACAACCTGGTGGTGGTGTATTGTACAGTTGTGGTCAAAAGTTTTGAGAATGACAAGTATTGGTCTTCACAAAGTTCGCTGCTTCAGTGTTTTTATATATTTTTGTCAGATGTTACAATGGTATACTGAAGTATAATTACAAGCATTCCATAAGTGTCAAAGGCTTTTATTGACAATTACATTAAGTTTATGCAAAGAGTCAATATTTGCAGTGTTGACCCTTCTTTTTCAAGACCTCTGCAATCCACCCTGGCATGCTGTCAATTAACTTCTGGGCCACATCCTGACTGATGGCAGCCCATTCTTGCATAATCAATGCTTGGAATTTGTGGGGTTTTGTTTGTCCACCCGCCTCTTGAGGATCGACCACAACTTATCAATGGGATTAAGGTCTGGGGAGTTTCCTGGCCATGGACCCAAAATGTTAATGTTTTGTTCCCCGAGCCACTTAGTTACCTTATGGCAAGGTGCTCCATCATGCTGGAAAAGGCATTGGTCGTCACCAAACTGTTCTTTGATGGTTGGGAGAAGTTGCTCTCAGAAGATGTGTTGGTACCATTCTTTATTCATGGCTGTGTTCTTAGGCAAAATTGTGAGTGACCCCACTCCCTTGGCAGAGAAGCAACCCCACACATGAATGGTCTCAGGATGCTTTACTGTTGGCATGACACAGGACTGATGGTAGCGCTCACCTTGTCTTCTCCGGACAAGGTGTTTTCCAGATGCCGCAAACAATCAGAAAGGGGTTTCATCAGAGAAAATGACTTCACTCCAGTCCTCAGCAGTCCAATCCCTGTACCTTTTTGCAGAATATCAGTCTGTACCTGATGTTTTTCTTGGAGAAAAGTGGCTTCCTCGCTGCCCTTCTTGACACCAGGCCATCCTCCAAAAGTCTTTGCCTCACTGTGCGTGCAGATGCACTCACACCTGCCTGCTGCCATTCCTGAGCAAGCTCTGTACTGGTGGTGCCCCGATCCCGCAGCTGAATCAACTTTAAGAGACGGTCCTGGCGCTTGCTGGACTTTCTTGGGCGCCCTGAAGCCTTCTTCACAACCGTTGAACCTCTCTCCTTGAAGTTCTTGATGATCCGATAAATAGTTGATTTAGGTGCAATCTTACTAGCAGCAATATCCTTGCCTGTGAAGCCCTTTTTGTGCAAAGCAATGATGGCGGCACGTGTTTCCTTGCAGGTAACCATGGTTAACAGAGGAAGAACAATGATTTCAAGCACCACCCTCCTTTTAAAGCTTCCAGTCTGTTATTCTAACTCAATCAGCATGACAGAGTGATCTCCAGCCTTGTCCTCGTCAACACTCTCACCTGTGTTAACGAGAGAATCACTGACATGATGTCAGCTGGTCCTTTTGTGGCAGGGCTGAAATGCAGTGGAAATGTTTTTTTTTGGGATTAAGTTCATTTTCATGGCAAAGAGGGACTTTGCAATTAATTGCAATTCATCTGATCACTCTTCATGACATTCTGGAGTATATGCAAATTGCCATCATAACTGAGGCAGCAGGCTTTGTGGAAATTAATATTTGTCATTCTCAAAACTTTTGACCACGACCTTGACCTTTCCACATTTTGTTGTTACAGCCTGAATTCAAAATGGATTAAGTAGATTTTTACTCCATAATGACAGTGAAAACATGTTTTTAGAAATTTTAGCAAATGTATTAAATACAGAATTACCTCATTTACATAAGTATTCACACCCCTGAGTCAATACTTTGTAGAAGCACCTTTGGCGCCAATTACAGCTGTGAGTCATCGTCTTAGGTATGTCTGTATCAGCTTTGCACGTCTGGATTTGAGGATTTTCTCAAGTTAGATGGGGCGTGGTGGTGAACAGCAATCTTCAAGTCTTTCCACAGATTTTCAATGGGATACAAGTCTGGGCTTTGGCTGCAGCCAATCAAGGACTTTCACATTCTTGTTCTAAAGCCATTCCAGGGTTGCTTTGGCTGTATGCTTGGGGTCATTGTCCTGTTGGAACGTAAATCTTCGCCCCAGTCTAAGGTCGTTTGCACTGAAGCAGGTTCTCATCAAGGATTTGCCTGTATTTGGCTCCATTCATTGTTCTCTCTATCCTAACCAGTCTCAGAGTCACTGCCTCTGAAAAGCATCCCCATAGCATGATGCTGCCACCACCATGCTTCACGGTAGGGATGGTGTTAGACGGGTGACGAGCTGTGCCTGGTTTTCTCCAGTCATAGTCACTTTGCATTCAGGCCAAAGAGTTAAATTGTTGTCTCATCAGACCACAGAATCTTTTGCCTTATGATCTCAGTCTTTCACGTGCCTTTTTGCAAACTCCAGGCGTGCTGTCATGTGCCTTTATTCTCAGGAGTGGCTTCCATCTGGCCACTCTCCCATAAAGCCCAGATTGGTGAAGCGCTGTAGAGACTGTTGTCCTTCCGGCAGGTTCTCCCATATCAGCCAAGGAACTCTGTAGTTCTGTCAGAGTGGTCATTGGGTTCTTGGTCTCCTCCCTGACCAAGGTCCTTCTTGCCAGGTTGCTCAGTCTGGTCGGACGGCCAGCTCTAGGCAGTCTGGGTAGTTGCATATTTTCTTCCATTTCCCAATTGTGGCTGTGCTCTTGGAAACATTCAACACTCTAAAAATAGTTGTATACCCTACGCCAGATATATGCCTCATCACAATTCTGTCTTGGAGATCTACGGACAGATTTGCTCTGTCAACTGTGGGACCTTATATAGACTCCCCATATACAGGTGTGCCAAGCTTGTAGCGTCATACCCAAGAAGACTCAAGGCTGTAAACGCTGATAAAGGTGCTTTAACAAAGTACTGAGGAAAGGGTCTGAATACTAATCTACAGTAAATGTGAAATTTCAGTTATTAATTTGTTATGAATTAGCAACATTTCCTAAAAACCTCTTTTTCGCTTGGTCATTGTGGGGTATTGTGTGTAGATTGAGGGGAAAAAATATTTATTCAATTTTAGAATAAGGCTGTAACGTAACAAAATGTGGAAAAAGTTAAGGTCTGAATAGTTTCCGAATGCACTGTATCTGTATTCCCTGCCATGAGAAATCCATAGATTAGGGCTTAATGAATTAATTTAAATTGACAGATTAATTTATATGAACTGTTACTCAGTAAAATCTTTGAAATTGTTGCACGTTGCGTTTTATATTTTTGTTCAGTGTAGAATACCAGTTGGGCAACTGTATATAACACGTGGTCAACCCTCAGGCTGGAGAACTACCGGGTATTACAGGCTTTTGATCAAGCCCTGCTTAAACACATCAGACAGTTTATCAACGGCCAGTTGAGCAGATCATTTCTAAAATGTGGTTTGTTAGATGGGGGCTGGAATAAAAGCCTGCACACCCATTAGCTCTCCTGGAGGATGGTTGACCACCCATTAGCTCTCCTGGAGGATGGCTGACCACCCATTAGCTCTCCTGGAGGATGGTTGACCACCCATTAGCTCTCCTGGAGGATGGTTGACCACCCATTAGCTCTCCTGGAGGATGGTTGACCACCCATTAGCTCCACCCATTAGCTCTCCTGGAGGATGGTTGACCACCCATTAGCTCTCCTGGAGGATGGGTTGACCACCCATTAGCTCTCCTGGAGGATGGTTGACCCACCATTAGCTCTCCTGGAGGATGGTTGACCACCCATTAGCTCTCCTGGAGGATGGTTGAACCACCCATTAGTTCTCTCTGGAGGATGGTTGACCACCCATTAGCTCTCCTGGAGGATGGTTGACCACCCATTAGCTCTCCTGGAGGATGGTTGACCACCCATTAGCTCTCCTGGAGGATGGTTGACCACCCATTAGCTCTCCTGGAGGATGGCTGACCACCCATTAGCTCTCCTGGAGGATGGTTGACCACCCATTAGCTCTCCTGGAGGATGGTTGACCACCCATTAGCTCTCCTGGAGGATGGTTGACCACCCATTAGCTCTCCTGGAGGATGGTTGACCACCCATTAGCTCTCCTGGAGGATGGCTGACCACCCATTAGCTCTCCCGGAGGATGGTTGACCACCCATTAGCTCTCCTGGAGGATGGTTGACCACCCTTGATGTAAAACATTACAACCAAATAAGTTTTATGCCTTTTGAAATAATTAGCTTATTCAATATATCAAAGATCAAATGGCTATGGTAGCCCACAAATGTTCTTCAGGAAATGTACCTTTTTGAGTTTAGTCATATTTATCTAAGCTACCTTAGACAAGTTTACTTTTCAGGCTGACTAGCATCTATTGAGTTGCAATGTCCCATACATTGGATGGCCAAATCAACTGGAAGTATCTACAAAACAAGTTTTAAAGGCATAAAATCCAAAAGAAAAGATACATTTTAAAATATTTTCTAAAATTGCTGTTCAGGATTCACAAAGTATTATTTTGATTCACCTGATTTGATTCACCGCAATTGAACTGAATCCCAACTAATACAATGATGATCTTATAAATGAACCATATGAATTGTTCAATAAAGTAAATCAACTTCAAATCCAATTTTATTTGTCGCATGCGCCGAATACAACAGGTGTAGACCTTACCGTGAAATGCTTACTCACAAGCCCTTAACCAACAATGCAGTTCAAGAAATAGAGTTAAGAAAATATAGCAACACAATAAGGAGGCTATATACAGGGGGTACCGGTGCCGAGTCAATGTGCGGGTATACAGGTTAGTCGAGGTAATTTGTACATGTAGGTAGGGGTAAAGTGACTATACATAGATAATAAACAGAGAGTAGCAGCAGTGTAAAAACAAGGGGGTTGGGGGTCAATGTAAATAGTCCGGGTGGCCATTTGATTAATTGTTCAGCAGTCTTATGGCTTGGGGGTAGAAGCTGTTAAGCAGTCTTTTGGACCTAGACTTGCCGTGCGGTAGCAGAGAGAACAATCTATGACATGGGTGACTGGAGTATTTGACAATTTTTTTGGCCTTCCTCTGACACCGCCTACTATATAGGTCCTTGATGGCAGGAAGCTTGTCCTCAGTGATGTACTTGGCCGTACGCACTACCCTCTGTAGCGCCTTACGGTCGGAGGCCTAGCAGTTGCCATACCAGGCGGTGATGCTCTCGATGGTGCAGCTGTATAAAGTTTTGAGGATGTGGCGACCCATGGCAAATCTTTTCAGTCTCCTGAGGGGGAAAGGCGTTGTCGTGCCCTCTTCACAATTTTCTTGGTGTGTTTGGACCATGACAGTTTGTTGGTTCCACTTCAATGTGAATGGGTGCGTGTTTGGCCCGCCTTTTCCTGTAGTCCATGATCATCTCCTTTGTCTTGATCACGTTGAGGGAGAGGTTGTTATCCTGGCACCACACGGCCAGGTCTCTGACCTCCTCCCTATAGGCTGTCTTATCGTTGTCGGTGATCAGGCCTACCACTGTTGTGTCATCAGAAAACGGAATGATGGTGTTGGAGTCGCGCCTGGCCACACAGTCGTGGGTGAACAGGGAGTACAGGAGGGGACTAAGCACGCACCCCTGAGGGGCCCCAGTGTTGATGGTCAGCGTGACAGATGTGTTGTTGCCTACCTTTATCACCTGGGGGTGGCCCGTCAGGAAGTCCAGGATCCAGTTGCAGAGGGAGGTGTTTAGTCCCATGGTCCTTAGCTTAGTGAAGAGCTTTGTGGGCACTATGGTGTTGAACGCTGAGCTGTAGTCAATGAACAGCATTCTCACATAGGTGTTCCTTTTGCCCAGGTGGGAAAGGGCAGTGTGGAGTGCAATAGAGATCATCTGTGGATCTGTTGGGGCGGTATGCGAATATGGAGTGGGTCTAGAGTTTCTGGGATGATGGTGTTGATGTGAGCCATGACCATGTTGGCGTGAGCCATGACCAGCCTTTCAAAGCATTTCATGGCTACCGACGTGAGTGCTACGGGGCGGTAGTCATTTAGGCAGGTTACCTTCGCTTTCTTGGGCACAGGGACTATGGTGGTCTGCTTGAAACGTACACTACCGGTCAAAAGTTTTAGAACACCTACTCATTCAAGGGTTTTTCTTTATTTGTACTATTTTCTACATTGTAGAATAATAGTGAAGACATCGAAACTATGAAATAACACATATGGAATCATGTAGTAACCAAAAAAGTGTTAAACAAGCCAATATATGTTTGATATTCTTCAATTAGCCACCCTTTGCCTTGATGACAGCTTTGCACACTCTTGGCATTCTCTCAACCAGCTTCACCTGGAATGCTTTTCCAACAGTGTTGAAGGAGTTCCCACATATGCTGAGCACTTGTTGGCTGCTTTTCCTTCACTCTCCAGTCTGACATCCCAAACCATCTCAATTGGATTGAGGTCGGGGGATTGTGGAGGCCAGGTCATCTGATGCAGCACTCCATTACTCTCCTTCTTGGTAAAATAGTCCTTACACATCCTGGAGGTCTGTTGGGTCATTGTCCTGTTGAAAAACAAATGATAGTCCCACTAAGCCCAAACCAGATGGGATGGCGTATCACTGCAGAATGCTGTTGTTAGCCATGCTGGTTAAGTGTGCCTTGAATTCTAAAGAAATCAGACCGTGTCACCAACTAAGCACCTCCACACATAACACCACCTCCTCCATGCTTTACGGTGGGAAATACACTTGCGGAGATCATCCGCTCAGCCATACCGCTTCTCACAAATACACGGCAGTTGGAACCAAAAACCTCAAATTTGGACTCCAGTACAAATTTCCACCGGTCTAATGTCCATTGCTCGTGTTTCTTTGCCCAAGCATGTCTCATCTTCTTATTGGGGTCCTTTAGTAGTGGTTTCTTTGCAGCAATTTGACCATGAAGGCCTGATTCACACTGTCTTCAATGAACAGTGCTTGATGGTTTTTGCGACTGCACTTGAAGAAACATTCAAAGTTCTTGAAATGTTCCGTATTAACTGACCTTCATGTCTTAAAGTAATGATGAACTGTCATTTCTCTTTGCTTATTTGAGCTGTTCTTGCCATAATATGGACTTGGTCTTTTACCAAATAGGGCTATCTTCTGTATACCCCCACCCCTACCTTGTCATAACACAACTGATTGGCTTAAATGCATTAAGAAGGAAAGAAATTCCACAAATTTACCTTAAGGCACACCTGTTAATTGAAATGCATTCCAGTGACTACCTCATGAAGCTGGTTGAGAGAATGCCAAGAGTGTGTAAAGCTGGCATCGAGGCAAAGGGTGGCTCTTTTGAAGAATCTCAAATATTAAATATTTTGATTTGTTTTACACTTCTTTTGGTTACTACATGATTCCATATGTGTTATTTCATAGTTTTGATGTCTTCACTATTATTCTAAAATGTAGAAAACAGTAAAAATAAAGAAAAACCCTTGAATGAGTAGGTGTGTTGACCGGTATTGTAGTTATTACAGACTCAGTCAGGGAGAGGTGGAAAATGTCAGTGAAGACACTTGCCAGTTGGTCCGCGCATGCTCTGAGTACACGTCCTGGTAATCCATCTGGCCCCGCTGCCTTGTGAATGTTGACCTGTTTAAAGGTCTTGCTCACATCAGCTATGGAGAGCGTGATCACACTGTCGTCCGGAACAGCTGGTGCTCTCATGCATGCTTCAGTGTTTCTTGCCTCGACGCGAGCATAAAAGGCATTTAGCTCATCTGGTAGGCTCGCGTCACTGGGCAGCTCGCAGCTGGGTTTCCCTTTGTAGTCCGTAATAGTTTTGCAAGCACTGCCACATCCGACGAGCGTCAGAGCCGGTGTAGTACGATTCAATCTTAGTCCTGTATTGACGCTTTGCCTGTTTTGATGGTTCGTCGGAGGGCATAAGCGTCCGGATTAGTGTCCTGCTCCTTGAAAACGGCAGCTCTAGCCTTTAGCTCGTGTGGATGTTGCCTGTAATCCATGGCTTCTGGTTGGGATATGTACGTACGGTCACTGTGGGGACGACGTCGTTTGATGCACTTATTGATGAAGCCGGTGACTGAGGTGGTATACTCCTCAATGCCATTGGATGAATCCCGGAACATATTCCAGTATGTGGTAGCAAAACAGTCCTGTAGCGTAGCATCCGCGTCATCTGACCACTTCCTTATTGAGCGAGTCACTGGTACTTCCTGCTTTAGTTTTTGCTTGTAAGCAGGAATCGGGAGGATAGAATTATGGTCAGATTTGCCAAATGGAGGGTGAGGGAGAGCTTTGTATGTGCGTGTGTGTGGCGTAAAGGTGGTCTGGAGTTTTTTTCCCTCTGGTTGCACATGTGACAGGCTGGTAGAAATGAGGTGAAACTGGTTTTCCTGCATTAACGTCCCCGGCCACTAGGAGCGCCGCTTCTGGTTGAGCATTTTCTTGTTTGCTTATGGCCTTATTCAGCTCGTTGTGTGCGGTCTTAGTGCCAGCATCGGTTTGTGGTGTTAAATAGACGGCTACGAATAATATAGATGAGAACTCTCTTGGTAGATAGTGTGGTCTACAGCTTATCATGAGGTACTCTACCTCAGGCCACCATCATCTTACCAGACGTAGCTGCTCTGTCCTGCCGATGCACGGAAAACCCAGCCAGCTCTATATTATCCTTGTCGTTCAGCCACGACTCGGTGAAACATTTTATTTTATTTCACCTTTATTTAACCAGGTAAGAAGCCAGTTGAGAACAAGTTCTCATTTACAACTGCGACCTGGCCAAGATAAAGCAAGTATTAACACTGGAATGATAGATGTGCAGAAGATGATGTGCAAATGAGCAAAATAAAAAACAATATGGGGATGAGGTAGTTGGGTGGGCTAATTTCAGATGGGCTGTGTACAGGTGCAGTGATCGGTAAGGTGCTCTGACAACTGATGCTTAAAGTTAGTGAGGGAGGTAAGAGTCTCCAGCTTCAGAGATTTTTGCAATTCGTTCCAGTCATTGGCAGCAGAGAACTGGAAGGAATGGCGGCCAAAGGAGGTGTTGGCTTTGGGGATGACCAGTGAGATATACCTGCTGGAGCGCATACTACGGGTGGGTGTTGCTATGGTGACCAATGAACTAAGATAAGGCGGGGATTTGCCTAGCAGTGATTTATCGATGGCCTGGAGCCAGTGGGTTTGGCGACGAATATGTAGTGAGGGTCAGCCAACGAGAGCGTACAGGTCACAATGGTGGGTAGTATATGGGGCTTTGGTGACAAAACGGATGGCACTGTGATAGACTACATCCAATTTGCTGAGTAGAGTGTTGGAGGCTATTTTGTAAATGACATCGCCGAAGTCAAGGATCGGTAGGATAGTCAGTTTTACGAGGGCATGTTTGGCAGCATGAGTGAAGGAGGCTTTGTTGCGAAATAGGAAGCCGATTCTAGATTTAACTTTGGATTGGAGATGCTTAATGTGAGTCTGGAAGGAGAGTTTACAGTCTAACCAGACACCTAGGTATTTGTAGTTGTCCACATACTCTAGGTCAGACCCGTCGAGAGTAGTGATTCTAGTCGGGTGGCCGGGTGCCAGCAGCGTTTGGTTGAAGAGCATGCATTTAGTTTTACTAGTGTTTAAGAGCAGTTGGAGGCTACTGAAGGAGTGTTGTATGGCATTGAAGCTTGTTTGGAGGTTTGTTAACACGGTGTCCAATGAAGGGCCATGGTGTCGTCTGCGTAGAGGTGGATCTGAGAGTCACCAGCAGCAAGAGCGACATCATTGATATACACAGAGAAGAGAGTCGGCCCGAGAATTGAACCCTGTGGCACCCCCATAGAGACAGCCAGAGGTCCAGACAACAGGCCCTCCGATTTGACACATTGAACTGTACATAACATATTACAGTTTTTAATGTCATGTTGGTAGGATCGTAGATCATCCAGTTCATTCTCCAGTGATTGCACGTTGGCCAATAGAATGGATGGTAGAGGCGGTTTACCCACTCACCGACAAATTCTCACAAGGCACCCCGATCTCCGCCCCCTGTATTTCCGTCTTTTCTTCACGTGAATGACGGGGATCTGGGTCTCAGGGAAGCAGTATGTCCTTCGTCGGACTCATTAAAGAAAAAATCTTAGTCTAGTTTGAGGTGAGTAATCGCTGTTCTGATGTCCAGAAGCTCTTTTACTTATAAAATAAGTTACAAAACAATGTGAAAAAACTAACAAAATAGTACAGTTGGCTAGGAGCTCGTACAACGGCAGCCATCCCCTCCGGCGCCATTATCCAATCTTTTTATATGACCTTATTTTCGAGTGTCAGTGGAATTTTTTGGGGGACATGAAGAAAACATCAATACATACTAGTAAAAGCTAAACAGTTAACCAAAGGGTACAATATTTGTTTTGAATTGGCTGCCTAGTTATTAGTCTGTTCTCTGTCATGTTTTATAGGCCTACCTGCTACTGCAATGTCCGAAAGTCAAAGGCCACTGGCCTCGCACCATGCAGGTGACGCTCCCAAACACAGACGCGCCAAAGTGTCATTCCCATCCTGATATGTTGATTTTTTTTATTTGATTTAATAAAATATTTTAAAAAATAAATGACTAACAGAAATTATGAAATGTTTTTCCATTACTTTTCGAAAAGATTTTCAGAAATGCTACAAAAAGGTAGCACATCGTTTGTTCTTAATGGACGGAAAGGTACGAGAGCGATTTTTAAATTATAAACGCAATGGAAACTGTTGCACCTGCAAACATTATTGAGTCCAAATGGATCCAGGTAGAACTGTCACCTTCATCTTACGGACGCCGTAGCCTTGCTTTCATCCGACGTCTAGAATCTGAGCTATGCCCTGTCAGGAAAATCCAGAATAGCGGTTCTTGGTAACGGAAGGACGGATAATGACTGGAGGCGGGGAGTCTGTTCCTTCCTCCCAAGTTGATTTTGAGAATTTTCCTCGACGTTGGTGTCCTATTGGCTTAGATATGATGGTAGGGTGATTTTGAATTTTAACATCGAGCTTCAACCCAATGCATATACTATTGTGAGGGCTATCGTCCCCACAATGATGATTACGTCAGGGTGTGGTTCATTTATGATATCTTTCATCAACTGTATTAGACCATTTTTTCAATTCCTGTATGGAAAACAATACAGTCTAGTCTACCATTTTAAACTATTAAATCAAGTGAAGATCTAACCTTGTCTAACCAGTAGCTTTTGTTTCCATACTGCTCTCTTTTAAAATACTGAAACTTTATTTAATATGGCCTCTTTGAACGGACTGTCTCTAAAGGAACACCCATAGATTACCTGTATCCTTCCATGAACCCAGTGCCCTCATAATCTGTCCCAAATGGCACCCTATTTCCTATAGAAGGCATTACTTTTGACCGGAGCTCTACTGGCCCTGGTCAAAAGTAGTGCACTAAATGGGTAACAGGGTGCCATTTGGGACTCTAAGTGTATGGCACATTCTCCTTTTTGTGTATTTTCTGAGAGCTCAGCCTGTCAGTCCAGACATGGCTGCTGCACAGGAGACAGCTGTTTGGTCCGTCACAGTTCAACCTGGCCTCAGGTGCTTATGATGACGGTGACGTGGAGCTACCTAACAAACAGGGCTTTATTCTCAGACGGAACCCCTCTTCAAACACAACGCACCAGAGGTCTCGCTCCTTCTCCTTGTTGTCAGGGCTCAGCTCAGTCCATCACCCCTCTGAATGAACTCTCCCACTGAGAAAAACGGGGTCTGTGTGGGGGGGGGGGGGGGGGGGTCAAGTGCCCTTCCTCCTGTCAATCGGTCATGTCTGTCTGTCTGTCTGTCTGTCTGTAGCAGACCATTTCCCCCCCCATCTTTCTTACTGTGTGTGTGTGAATGGTTTTGGAGTTTTGCGCTCTTACTTGTGATTTGTTTTCTAGCTTCCTTGAAGCTGTCAGTTGGCTTCCTAACACTTTCTTACTCCCTATTTGTTTTCTAGCTCAGTGCTCCTACCATCTAGTTATATTTTATTTGGTATCCGTACTGTTCTCTCTGTCCCCCCTCCAGCCATTAGACTGTTCTCTCTGTCCCCCCTCCAGTCATTAGACTGTTCTCTCTGTCCCTCCTCCAGCCATTAGACTGTTCTCTCTGTCCCTCCTCCAGCCATTAGACTGTTCTCTCGGTCCCCCCTCCAGTCATTAGACTGTTCTCTCTGTCCCTCCTCCAGTCATTAGACTGTTCTCTCGGTCCCCCCTCCAGCCATTAGACTGTTCTCTCTGTCCCCCCTCCAGTCATTAGACTGTTCTCTCTGTCCCTCCTCCAGCCATTAGACTGTTCTCTCGGCCCCCCCTCCAGTCATTAGACTGTTCTCTCTGTCCCTCCTCCAGCCATTAGACTGTTCTCTCTGTCCCTCCTCCAGTCATTAGACTGTTCTCTCTGTCCCTCCTCCAGCCATTAGACTGTTCTCTCTGTCCCTCCTCCAGTCATTAGACTGTTCTCTCTGTCCCTCCTCCAGTCATTAGACTGTTCTCTCTGTCCCTCCTCCAGCCATTAGACTGTTCTCTCGGTCCCCCCTCCAGCCATTAGACTGTTCTCTCTGTCCCTCCTCCAGCCATTAGACTGTTCTCTCGGTCCCTCCTCCAGTCATTAGACTGTTCTCTCGGTCCTCTCCTCCAGTCATTAGACTGTTCTCTCTGTCCCCCCTCCAGCCATTAGACTGTTCTCTCTGTCCTCTCCTCCAGTCATTAGACTGTTCTCTCTGTCCCTCCTCCAGTCATTAGACTGTTCTCTCGGTCCCTCCTCCAGTCATTAGACTGTTCTCTCTGTCCCCCCTCCAGCCATTAGACTGTTCTCTCTGTCCTCTCCTCCAGTCATTAGACTGTTCTCTCTGTCCTCTCCTCCAGCCATTAGACTGTTCTCTCTGTCCCTCCTCCAGTCATTAGACTGTTCTCTCGGTCCCTCCTCCAGCCATTAGACTGTTCTCTCTGTCCCTCCTCCAGTCATTAGACTGTTCTCTCGGTCCCTCCTCCAGTCATTAGACTGTTCTCTCTGTCCCTCCTCCAGTCATTACTGTTCTCTCTGTCCCCCCTCCAGCCATTAGACTGTTCTCTCGGTCCCTCCTCCAGTCATTAGACTGTTCTCTCTGTCCTCTCCTCCAGTCATTAGACTGTTCTCTCTGTCCCCCCTCCAGTCATTAGACTGTTCTCTCTGTCCTCTCCTCCAGCCATTAGACTGTTCTCTCTGTCCCTCCTCCAGTCATTAGACTGTTCTCTCGGTCCCTCCTCCAGCCATTAGACTGTTCTCTCTGTCCCTCCTCCAGTCATTAGACTGTTCTCTCGGTCCCTCCTCCAGTCATTAGACTGTTCTCTCTGTCCCTCCTCCAGTCATTACTGTTCTCTCTGTCCCCCCTCCAGCCATTAGACTGTTCTCTCGGTCCCTCCTCCAGTCATTAGACTGTTCTCTCTGTCCTCTCCTCCAGTCATTAGACTCTCTCTGTCCCTCCTCCAGGACCGTCGGATCCTGATGCTTGCTTAGACACTGTTTTGGTTCTAGTCCAGTTCTCCCCATATCACAAAATGACTTGCAGTTGTTTGTGCAGCTCACCTGCTCAAGATGTTAGCTCTCTCCAATCCATGAAGGAGTCTATGGAGTTACTACTCTCCCCTGTGTTTCTCCTCCAGCCCAGTTATACCCAGACCCAGTCAGTGGAGCCCCGTCAGCCTCAATCATCCAGAGACTGTCTGAGATCGCTTCCCTGGAGGTAGAAACCGTCAGGCAGGAGAAGATCAAGAAGATTAAGAAGAGCAGGAGACAGGACTCCTGACACAACCTGCCTATCAGCCAATCAGAGAGCAGAACTCAGGGGTTAAAGGCCGTGACCCCATACGCAGTGCCAATGCCACCTGAACAAAATAAAACATTTTAGCGAAATATAAACTTTTCTCTTGTTTTGAAAAAATCTAACTTTGTAAAAACTTGTTGGTGCTATGTACTACCACAGTGTTATTCAATATTTTGATTTATGTGGAAGTTTTATCCATCCTTAAAGTCCTTAGGAGTTATCCAGAGGTCATCAATTCTGTGATAAAATGTACTCTTGTATTTCTCTCTAACTGTATTACAGAGGAATATTTGAAATGATGCTGTTACAATGTTTGAATTGTGTCTTTGTGACCAGAAGGAAGGCCTTGGCTGCTGGACCAATACAAAATGACAATGTTCAGCTCACACTAACTGCTAACATGACTGTATCCTGTCATCATGGGATTCAATGTTTTATCATTGTTCCATAAAATGAACAAATCCCAAATATGGACACTGTTGGGATGAAATATAGGTTTGAAACATTCCAGGCTGGATTCAATCCGTATCGCAGAAGTATCTGGGAAGATCTGTGTTCAAATGTAATGTACTTTCCGATTGAGGCAATGATGGACTGTCTTTTCTCTTTGCTTATTTGAGCTGTTCTTGCCATAATATGGACTTGGTCTTTTACCAAATAGGGCTATCTTCTGTATACCCCCTCTACCTTGTCACGACACAACTGATTGGCTCAAACGCATTAAGAAGGAAAGAAATTCCACAAATTAAATGTTAAGGAGGCACACCTGTTAATTGAAATGCATTCCAGTGCCTACCTCATGAAGCTGGTTGAGAGAAGGCCAAGAGTGTGCAAAGCTGTCATCGAGGCAAAGGGTTTCTATTTGAAGAATCTCAAAAAAATATATATTTTTGATTTGTTTAACACTTTTTTGGTTACTACATGATTCCATATGTTATATCATAGTTTTTATGTCTTCACTATTATTCTACAGTGTAGAAAATAGTAAAAAATAAAGAAAAACACTTGAATGAGTAGGTGTGTCCAAACTTTTGACTGGTAGTGTGTGTGTGTATATATATATATATACTTTTTTCCCCCACTGTATTGTCAGCCACCAATTGTGCAAGTTCTCCCACTTAAAAAGATGAGAGAGGACTGTAATTTTCATCATGGGTACACGTCAACTATGACAGACAAAATTAGAATTTTTTTCCCAGAAAATCACATTGTAGGATTTTTAATGAATTTATTTGCAAATTATGGTGTAAAATAAGTATTTGGTCAATAACAAAAGTTTCTCAATACTTTGTTATATACCTTTTGTTGGCAATGACACAGGTCAAACGTTTTCTGTTTTCTTCACAAGGTTTTCACACACTGTTGCTGGTATTTTGGCCCATTCCTCCATGCAGATCTCCTCTAGAGCAGTGATGTTTTGGGGCTGTCGCTGGGCAACACGGACTTTCAACTTCCTCCAAAGATTTTCTATGGGGTTGAGATCTGGAGACTGGCTAGGCCACTCCAGGACCTTGAAATGCTTCTTACGAAGCCACTCCTTTGTTGCCCGGGCGGTGTGTGCTGAAAGACACAGCCACGTTTCATCTTCAATGCCCTTGCTGATGGAAGGAGGTTTTCACTCAAAATCTCACGATACATGGCCCCATTCATTCTTTCCTTTACACGGATCAGTCGTCCTGGTCCCTTTGCAGAAAAACAACCCCAAAGCATGATGTTTCCACCCCCATGCTTCACAGTAGGTATGGTGTTCTTTGGATGCAACTCAGCATTCTTTGTCCTCTAAACACGACGAGTTGAGTTTTTACCAAAAAGTTATATTTTGGTTTCATCTGACCATATGACATTTACCCAATCCTCTTCTGGATCATCCAAATGCACTCTAGCAAACTTCAGACGGGCCTGGACATGTACTGGCTTAAGCAGGGGGACACGTCTGGCACTGCAGGATTTGAGTCCCTGGCGGCGTAGTGTGTTACTGATGGTAGGCTTTGTTACTTTGGTCCCAGCTCTCTGCAGGTCATTCACTAGGTCCCCCCGTGTGGTTCTGGGATTTTTGCTCACCGTTCTTGTGATCATTTTGACCGCACAGGGTGAGATCTTGTGTGGAGATTATCAGTGGTCTTGTATGTCTTCCATTTCCTAATAATTGCTCCCACAGTTGATTTCTTCAAACAAAGCTGCTTACCTATTGCAGATTCAGTCTTCCCAGCCTGGTGCAGGTCTACAATTTTGTTTCTCGTGTCCTTTGACAGCTCTTTGGTCTTGGCCATAGTGGAGTTTGGAGTGTGACTGTTTGAGGTTGTGGACAGGTGTCTTTTATACTGATAACAAGTTCAAACAGGTGCCATTAATACAAGTAACGAGTGGAGGACAGAGGAGCCTCTTAAAGAAGAAGTTACAGGTCTGTGAGAGACAGACATCTTGCTTGTTTGTAGGTGACCAAATACTTATTTTCCACCATGATTTGCAAATAAATTCATAAAAAATCCTACAATGTGATTTTCTGGATTTTTTTTTCTAAATATGTCTGTCATAGCTGACGTGTACCTATGATGAAAATTACAGGCCTCTCTCATCTTTTTAAGTGGGAGAACTTGCACAATTGGTGGCTGACTAAATACTTTTTTTCCCCACTGTATATATATATACTCTTTATGTCTCAGTGTATACACGCTGCACTACACTGATGGCTTTAAGATCTGCTCAACTGTATACATACTGAATGAAGAATGACATTGAATATTAGAGGTTACATCCCAAATGGCACCCTGTAACCCTATATAGTGCACTACTTTGGACTGGGACACTATATAGTGAATAGGGTGCCATTTGGGACACATCCAGAGTGCATTCCATATCACCAATATAGAGACCAAATCTTTCCCACAGGACTGGGAATGTGGCCTTTCCCTCACTAAGTAGGCTACATGGTGTCGTTTCAACACAGTCACACTATACCACTGAACAGACTGCATTGTGTTCAACAATGAGGGCCCTCATACACATCTATTGTATCTTGTTTTTGTGTGTCGGGTGAGATGAGGAGAAGATCAGTTGCGTTGGAGGGAGATCGAATGAGCCGTTACATTGACCAGGGAGGGTCGTGACGGGGCTGAAACGCCCTCAAGAAAGCGTTCATTAGTAAATGCACAGATGTACAAAATAGATTGCAGGCACCCCTATGCAACAACCAAGCTACCCCTTCGTTACCCCAGTGAACTGACTCACTGTAGTGAGTGTGTGCAGGAAAACCACAACCGTTGTGCCAAATGGTTGTACAAGTTGACTATGTACGGGCCAAAGGGCTGGGACTGTAAACAGGGTCGGGGATGCCTCTAGTGCTGTCTGCCTGGTGAACACACAGTAGTTTGTCTGATGATAGCTGTCTGCTCACGGCTGCAATGTTTGCATAAACATCAGGTATATAGAGGTGATCAAAGCTGTTATGATGATATGATTCATGAATGTGATGAGAAATGGTGTGTTTTTCCCAAATGGCACCCTATATGACATTTGGTACGCACCAATCATAGGTGGTGGGTCTGGAGCTAAAGTAATCAGGGGAAAAACACAGCCTGGAGGAGCTGAAGGAGAAGCTAACTACTGACAACACAGCCTAAAGGAGAGAAGCTAACTACTGACAACACAGCCTAAAGGAGAGAAGCTAACTACTGACAACACAGCCTGAAGGAGAAGCTAACTACTGACAAAGCCCTGTTTATACCTGATTCCAACATACAGTGGGGAAAAAAGTATTTAGTCAGCCACCAATTGTGCAAGTTCTCCCACTTAAAAAGATGAGAGAGGCCTGTAATTTTCATCATAGGTACACGTCAGCTATGACAGACATATTTAGAAAAAAAAATCCAGAAAATCACATTGTAGGATTTTTTATGAATTTATTTGCAAATCATGGTGGAAAATAAGTATTTGGTCACCTACAAACAAGCAAGATGTCTGTCTCTCACAGACCTGTAACTTCTTCTTTAAGAGGCTCCTCTGTCCTCCACTCGTTACTTGTATTAATGGCACCTGTTTGAACTTGTTATCAGTATAAAAGACACCTGTCCACAACCTCAAACAGTCACACTCCAAACTCCACTATGGCCAAGACCAAAGAGCTGTCAAAGGACACGAGAAACAAAATTGTAGACCTGCACCAGGCTGGGAAGACTGAATCTGCAATAGGTAAGCAGCTTTGTTTGAAGAAATCAACTGTGGGAGCAATTATTAGGAAATGGAAGACATACAAGACCACTGATAATCTCCACACAAGATCTCACCCTGTGCGGTCAAAATGATCACAAGAACGGTGAGCAAAAATCCCAGAACCACACGGGGGGACCTAGTGAATGACCTGCAGAGAGCTGGGACCAAAGTAACAAAGCCTACCATCAGTAACACACTACGCCGCCAGGGACTCAAATCCTGCAGTGCCAGACGTGTCCCCCTGCTTAAGCCAGTACATGTCCAGGCCAGTCTGAAGTTTGCTAGAGTGCATTTGGATGATCCAGAAGAGGATTGGGTAAATGTCATATGGTCAGATGAAACCAAAATATAACTTTTTGGTAAAAACTCAACTCGTCGTGTTTAGAGGACAAAGAATGCTGAGTTGCATCCAAAGAACACCATACCTACTGTGAAGCATGGGGGTGGAAACATCATGCTTTGGGGTTGTTTTTCTGCAAAGGGACCAGGACGACTGATCCGTGTAAAGGAAAGAATGAATGGGGCCATGTATCATGAGATTTTGAGTGAAAACCTCCTTCCATCAGCAAGGGTGTTGAAGATGAAACGTGGCTGGGTCTTTCAGCATGACAATGATCCCAAACACACCGCCCGGGCAACGAAGGAGTGGCTTCGTAAGAATCATTTCAAGGTCCTGGAGTGGCCTAGCCAGTCTCCAGATCTCAACCCTATAGAAAATCTTTGGAGGGAGTTGAAAGTCCGTGTTGCCCAGCGACAGCCCCAAAACATCACTG